GGTAAATACTTTTGTTGCTGGATTATACCCCATAGTAATAAAGTCGTCCGGATTAGCCTCTCTTTTACGTTTGTAACGTATCAGAGAAACATGGCAAACGTTAAACATAGTTGCAGTGGCGCGTATGCTACGCCCTTTTAAAATTTCATCATATGTTTGTTCATACAATAATGTGTCTCTTGACCCACGGTCCGTCTTTTTTATTCTATTTCGTGGCATCTAAAACAAGAACAATCCAATAAGTAATTGTATATTTTAAGTACCTATTTATTTTTTACTCTAGTATTATTAGGTGTGCGTTCGCGCAGCGGAATGTTGTTGAATTTAAAGATTTTAATTATGCAGATAATTAGTGTATGACGTCCTATAATTGTGTATGGTAAAACAAAATTTGTATATGCAGCCATTGTGGAGAAATTCACCAAAAACTGATTTCGCTGGGCGAACGTTGTCCTGGCGGAACTTTTTTTAATCCATATACTTTAGAAGAAAAGCGAAATCAGTTTTTGGTGAATTTCTCCACAATGGCTGCATGCACAAATTTTGTTTTACCATACACAATTATAGGACGTCATACACTAATTATCTGCATAATTAAAATCTTTAAATTCAACAACATTCCGCTGCGCGAACGCACACTATTATTAGTACGGGGTTATTTCTACCATGGGGTTAATTGTACCGGTAATATTGACCCCGGCGATGTTGGTACAATTGCACCCAAGTAACTAATTTAGAAAAACAATCAAATAAACCCATAATTCTAAACTTATAGTTTTCGTATTTATTATAAATCAAAAGTTTAATAACCTTTTAATCTAGCAACAACAATCACTTATCGAAAAGGCTCTAGTAGTACGAGTTACATTCAATCATATTTTACGTAAAAACTTACCTCGGCTAGTCGAAAATCAAAAATTCGCCCCTAACACGTCCGTTTCACAGCACGCGCGCCGGCGACTGAGGGGCGCCTCGGGACTCAAGTAGCGCGTGTGCTGGCGCACTCACACATGCACAATTTGGCTCAGTAGGAGAAATATCGTTGATGGTACTATTGACCCGTGTTACTATTGTACCCGGTCTACCCTACGTACGGGTAATCTTCGCAAATTAGCAGCTTGGTAACCGATGTTTTGTACAGTTAAGCAGAAAAACGTTATTCGTGAAGCCGATTTTTTAATATTTTTTAAGTGCAGTACCATATTACACAATTTTTACTAGTTAATGCCAATTAAAATGCCATACTGTGAGTCGAGGTGAAATGGAGTCCACCTATCAACCTACGTTATTAGTACCTCCTAAGGAAAATTGTACAAACTATTAATGTATCCAAATATTAAAATTAAGTAAGTAGGTTATAACTTATCTGTGATTTTTCTCTAAAAATGTTGATGCTAAGGCAAAGCAATACATATAATTTGTATGAGACTGATTTTTTAAATAAAAATAATGAATCTTAACCATTTTATTATTTTAACTAACCTGACCAGAAAACTTTTGTATTCAACTGTACTAACAAAACATCTATATTATCCTGTTCATTTCAGATGGTTGCGCTTATGTATGGTGCGGTCGCTTTTATGTGACCTTTTCAATTTGGTCGGCTCATTAGAGAATTGCTGACATAATCTTGTTTTTGAGATAACTTTCATTAGAGCCGTAATTCAAAGCTGCAATTAACAGGAAGGAATTTTCAGGAATCATTTTAATTTGTTTAAAGTATGCCATGTTTCTTAATGTTATGGGAACTGCGTATTCGATCGCTAAAGTACGACCAGTCTAAAATAAATCAAATTTGTTTTTATCTTCTTAACGTGTAAAGTATGAAATCTAAAATGTCTGCTGTAAACAAGCGTCGAACCACGGGTATTTTTTACAGCTGTTTATTTGGTTATAAGTGTATTGGTTTACTTGTAAACCCGTTTCTTCTGATTTTTGAAACCATTTAATTACATTGGTTTACGTCAACCAAATCAAAAACTAATGATTAAACAAATTTAAACAAATTGAGGTCTTTTATTGGTATTTTTTTCAAACTTCTGCGTTGAGCCGTTTTCGAGATCTGGGAAATCCCAAAACGTTACCGCAGCAAAATCTTAAATAACTAAAGAACTATACCACACACAAATTTTGCTATTTATAAACATTTACTACGCAACAAAAGCTATCTATTCATGTATTTGGTTCCGTGCTGAAACTAATTTTTGAAAGACTATTTTGCCTGGGTAACGTTTCAAACGTTACTCCAGCAAAATTTGTTTTTCTCAAATAACTTAAAAACTACAATTCAAACAAATTTTGCTATTAGTAAACAAATTGCTCCTCATGATACACTAATTATTTGTTTAAGTCTCATCTCTCTAAAGCAAAACATTTTGCCTGGGTAACGCACACAATAAATGCAAAGAATCTATACAAACAATATAGAGACATAATTATATACATAGGCACTCCTAATGCCTTGTCGTAGAGTAATTGTATAGATATAGAGAGAGTAGTAAAATCGTTAGTTTTACAGTCAATACTGCGCCGGCGCAGTTGCGTCTAAATTCCGTTACGTTACGAAAGTATAATTGCAATCGTGAAAAGCGTAGGAAATGACAATTAAGTTATTGAGTCAAGGCAAAGGATACACAGGGCTACCACGTTACTTTATAATACAATTTCGCCACCTCGCTACCTCGCCGACTCACGGTACCACTTCACCGTTTTACAAATTTAGTGCAATGAAATCGATCAAGTCCTTGCTTGCGTTTCCTGGACACATATTTTATGAATTGTTGTATAGCTATTAGCTAGCGATTACTACATTGTATACCACCATATAAAAGCATATCTGTGCTAAGTACGCAGATATGACTAATATTCAGGATAATACAAAACTAGTTCTTAATCAATAGTACATATTACAGTCAATTTTTATTTGTTGTTACAAATACTAATACTTAGTTTCACAGGTTTTTGCTTATATAAATAACATTCCATTCATTCATAAGCCTAAGCCATTTAAAGATTTGGCAATAAATCGCATCTATTTAACATATTACTGCTTTGTTTCTTATGAGATCTCATGAGAGATGACTTCTCCGTACAAAAGACATAAACGAGATGTCAACAAGGTGCAATATGGCTTCACCACTATTAGTTTTTTTATGGATTGTGTAATTTTACTTATTATTATTGAGCTTTGCCAAGTATGTAATTAAATTATTTTTTCAAACTGTGAACCAGTATATTTAATACGTGATACATGATTATGATGTTATTTAACATTAATTTAGATTCAAAGTACCTAGATTGTTTTTTTATTCTGTACTAATTATACATATTATATAGCGTTAAACCTAAATAATTATTACAATTTCAATTTATTAAAGATCATCTAGTTTCTACACAAAAAAAACTGGTTACGGCATATGAACAATGAATGCAGATTAATATAATATTATGTCACGTCGGACTGATTTCCATTTTTCATTTCATATAATATATTACGTTAATTTGTAACCTATTTATAAAACGTATGGATAGTCATAAAAACGGTAAAGCACCACTCTTGCTGAGGCCTTTTATTGAATGAAAAATTATGAAAATCGTGTGATAAAATTATTGCGGAATTAATTGTGGATGGGTGGAAAGGTAGTGTGTGGGTGCGGGTTCGCAACCTACCAACGGCTAATACCAATGTGACTTTTTCCGTGTTATATATGTACTTTGTAAGATAAATTAAAAAAAATACACAACTGACAAACTGTGGCGGAAAAATTGTGAGATACCTAACCGATGTATAATTTCTAATTATAAGTTTGAAATTGCCAACCTGCATTGACAGGACATTGTTGATACTAATGTGTGAGTGGAAAGGAAATAACATGTTGTGCCTATCCAAATAACTCACGATATGGGTCAGTACTAGCCTAAATATACATACTGCTCCCTATAGAGTCTGATGGGTTATTTATCATATGTTTATGTGTTTATGAAGGGTAGAAACTTCCCCAAAAGGCACATGGTGAAGGTAACAGCCCTGTGAACTCCTAATAACTCAGCTTGCTCCCTAAGACACTACAAGTATTGTCATCTTAGTAATCACTTACGAACTTAAAACCGCAAACGAAATGAAAATACTTACTTTGTTCTTGGATTACTTAATGTAATTTACTTACGTTTTAAGTGGATAATGGATTTGTTTCTAAATTAACCTCTTAACATTGATAATGACGGCCCACACTCATCAACCCAAACTGTTATACAAAATAAAAAAGATAATAACAAAAAAGTTTTTGCCAACAAAATCGTAAAGGCCTTGACCAGAAACAAATCAATTACTTTTAAACCTTAGGTAGTTATTGGACATACCTACGTGACATTTATACATATATATGTACAAACAAACTTACTACACAATAGGTCGTCGTGTGAATATAACCTTTTCTGCTAATGACTGATGAAAATAGTGATCCGTGAAGAGCAAAACTTTATTTATTTATTTATTTATTGGTAAACATAATGGTGCGCGCAAGGCCGTATGGTGACTTCGGATGGCTTTTCACAAAGCCAAGCAAACTTAATTATTAAGTAACTTCAAGAAGACCTTTGACCGTCAAGACTATCAAGACTGTTCTTGATGTTAAATGTTTTCTTATTACTCAATGTAAATAAATTAAAGATGAGTATTTTCAAAACAATTTAAGTGTGTATATGTTTTTGTGTAGTTTACAACGGTGCGACGAGGTCGGTTCTTTATACAAACTTCTTGCTATTACCTAAGTTGTTAAACTGAAATTGCTAAGAACCATGATAAAATATTCATATACTTTCATTACTAGAATGACCAAACTCTTCTGTTCCGTAATTTAAGGGTCCGTAAAATGTCATACAGTAGATAATGCTTTAATAAGGGAGAAATTGAATCTCTGATACTTCGAACAACTTTCGCCATTAGACTTTAAGAACTACTGTTTTGCAAGTGACATGAGATGTTTATCTATTGTTTGCAGTGTCTGACCAGGCTGTACATATCAGGTTACTACAGTCTATGGTGCCAGAAGATAATCTACGAGGACACGCCGCTGGAGCGCATCGTCGTCAGCAGGGTCTGGCTGTATTACATGATCAAGGTTCTAGATCTTTTGGACACGGTCAGTTGTGCATTTATACATTTTTAAAAAGAACATCTATTTTTTAAGTTTTTTTTTAAATAATCAATTATCCCCGACGGCGTAGGCAGAGGTGTACATTACGGCACTTAATGCGACTGTACAATGCAACACCAACTTTTCACTTGTTATGTTATGAGTCCCATGTAATAGGGGGTGAGCCTATTGCCATATACCGGACACATTTCCAGACTCCGTGCTACTACAGAGATTTTTAATAAACCCAGTAATACTTTGCCCGACCCGGGAATCGACTACCCTACTTCTGCCGTAGGATTTGATAAAAGCGGACTATCTAAATATTTGGTAGAGATGGGGCAGCAGCGCTCTCTGATAAGGCTGAACCTTTAAAACTGTGATTTCCAAAACGCCTGCGAAAATGCGAAACGTAAAGGTTATGGCAAACCCTCTTATGGAGAGGAGGTGGGCTGGAGGAGGGGGTTCTCTGCTGACAATTTTGCAGGCTGTTCTTGATGATGACGATGATGATAATTTCAATCCTCATTATGTTTGTATTCTATTCCTCTTTCTTCTTCTTCGCAGGTATTCTTCGTGTTACGTAAGAAGTTCAATCAAGTATCGTTCCTGCACGTGTACCACCACTTAGGAATGTGCATGCTCGGGTTCATTGGCACCAAATATGTACCAGGTACGTTAGAAAATATTATTTTATCTTCTATTAATTGTCTTTTTGCGGTTTTATGATCTTTAAAAAGGTTTATGACTAGGACCTAAACCTGCAAAAGGATATGAGTAGGTAGCTATATACAACCGCTGAGAACGGGATTTATGCGAGTGAGAGTGTTAAGTAGGTAGTTGTCCAATAACCATTGTAACTAATTCGTCAGACTACACTTTTTTGACATATGACCCTAACTGTGTTTCAAACTGGGATTTTCATTGTCTACACAATTTTAATATACATGTTATGTATGTACGTATAAATAAAGCAGTAGGTACGTCACCTAGGTAACCTAGCTGTAGTTTTTTATGGGATCAGCTGGTAAACGAGCGAGACGGATTCCCTGATTAGTAGGCAATCGGTGTCGCCCGTGGACACCTGGAATACCAGATGCGTTACAAGTGCGTTACCGGCACAATTCTTTGTTGGGGATCCAGGGATTGGGGAGATTGAGGAAAAGGGGGGGGGGAGTACTGTTGTGCAATAATTATAAGATTTAATGTTCAATTCGGCCTATGAATCGGCTGATGACACTTTTTTCTTAGAATGTAATGTGTAAACAGGTTAACTAAACAACATTCGATCTTCAAAAACGACACACTAACGCAAACATGTATACCTAGACAGCGCAAACGCAACACTGAGGTAAAATATGGCTACATTATAACGTGTCACTCTCTGAGCGCTTGTACCCTGTCTACACCTTTTTACTTATAATATCATTGGTGCTGTGTAATTTCGAAATGCTGGCAATTTTCCGCATAATATGCCCATCCAATCCGCAAATCTCCAATGCTCAAAAAGCCGCAACACCCTTTGTAACCCGGAACACCACAGGACCGATGCGACAGACGTGTCTACATTTAATTAATAATAATAATAATAAACGTTTATTAGCACTTCATAGAATTAACACAGTGAAGCCCTGTGTTACCTACTATAGGTATAATGATATTTCTCCTAAATATTCCTTGACGTAATTAATTATAAACATTAATTATATATGTAGGTATAACTACATACCTAAGCAAATAACCTGTAGCCGCACCGCACGACTACATACCTACCAGTTACCAGTACCACCGAATACCTTACCATATACCTTCCACAATACCTTTACCAAAGTTTTAGACTTACTTCGTTTTAGAAACAAGAAACAAATTGTCTTGAAAAAGACAGTTTACGTTTTGACTCCGTTTTTAGAAACAAGAAACCAATTGTCTTGAAAAAGACAGTTTACGACTCTCTCGCATAGAAACGATAATAATCACTGCGGCAACAGCGTTATCACACCGTGCCGCGAGCGATCGCTTCGAAAGAAGCGGTTTGGTTAAGCAAGCAGCCAAGCAGCGCAAGCGGAGCCGGAGCCGGAGCACTTGCATTCGTCGTATCTTCATTGTTCATCTGTAGGTAGTCTTCAGTCTTCACTCGACGCCGGCGCTCGGAGAAATGCGCGCGCTCGCGCCGCGCGGTCATACTTATACGGAAGGAACCGATAGTGCCGTGTGCAAAGCGGCGCCCCTCACCCCGCGCGCCCCGCGCACGCCGGCGCGCCGCTATTGGTCGAAACTATCACCTAACTATATCTGATATTATCTAATTGTAAATATGTAAATAGAAATATAAGTAGCGTAATTTGGCGAATAAAATCATTCTGGTCCACACCTCTCATCGGAGTTTTACTAGTAATGGAAGAAAAGAAGAAACCTCCTCTAGGACACTAGGCTCTCCTACCTAGCTCCTAAATTGGTGACCCCGACGCTGCCAACGGATCTCTGCAAGAATCAATCGCCGCCTAGTACTGCAGAAAGTCAAGCTCGTCGTAATGTCCAACGAAAAAACGCCGGAACTCTCCAGCGTGTCGACGTCGCTGCGCATTCCACCTATATGGCGCGACAGAATACGCCTATGGTTTGCGCAGTTCGAGGCGATTATGTCTCCGCAGAAGAAGGGCGACCAAGCCATGTTTGAGCTTGTCGTCGGTCATCTCGAACGACAAGACCTCGATGAAATATCCGACATTATCCTTCATCCACCGGAGAGAGACCGCTACGAAACCCTTAAAAACAGACTACTCCAGGTCTATGAGGAGTCTGAACAGCGTCAAGTTCAACGCCTTCTCTCCGAGATGGAGCTCGGCGACTTAAAACCATCACAGTTACTTCGCCGGATGAAGAATCTCGCCGCGGATAATATATCCGACGCTGCGCTTCGTATTATGTGGACAAACCACCTCCCCCAGTCCGTGCGCGCAGTCCTCGCTGTCAGCGACAACATCGCTAAACACACAGATATCCACGATCTAGCGATGATGGCGGACAAAATACTCGAACAGACGCAACCTCATGGCACAGTCGCTGCTGTGACTGAAAACCCCGTTTTCCCCCGTGTACCTACAAGTATTGAAGACAAAATTGATATACTTACGAGGGAAATCGCCGAACTCAAAGCAGCACAATCTAGCCATCGTTGCAACCGTCAGTCGAGACGACCTCAGAACAGATCGCGATCATCGAACCGATATCGCTCCCAGTCCAGACAGCGCGATAACATACCACGCCGCACGGAATCTTCTGGAATTTGTTATTACCACCGCAAGTTCGGGAAGGAGGCACAGCGATGCACACGTCCGTGTAATTTCCAGAACAACAACACCCGTCCGGAAAACTAAGAGCTGCGTTGGATGAGGCGGGAACCGGCGCAACAACTACGTCATACCGCCTGTTTATAACAGACAGAAACTCACGTCTGTCATTTCTAATTGATACTGGCGCAAACGTCTCGGTCATCCCTAAACGAAAAGGCGTGAAGATAGCCCCAACTGACTTTTGTTTATACGCCGCAAACAACACGGTTATACCTACCTACGGTGAGAAGACACTACAACTGGACCTAAACCTACGCCGACCTTATAGTTGGAAATTCATCGTTGCTGAAGTCAGCAAGCCAATCATCGGCGCCGACTTCCTACGCCACCACCAACTACTCGTCGACATAGCCGGTCGATGTCTTGTCGACAAAGTAACAAACCTCACCGTCAAAGCGCCAATCTCATATTCCGCCGAGCCAACTGTAAGAAGCATAGACGTCGAACAGCCGTATCATCAAATATTGAGTCAATTCCCCGATATCCTAAGACCATCATGCATGAAGACCACTCCCAAACACCGCGTGGAACATCATATTGAAACCACCGGTCCACCTGTACATAGCAAAACCCGGCCATTACCCCCACATCGATACTTGGCCGTGAAGAAAGAATTTGAAGTCATGATGCAGCAGGGATTATGCCGTCCAAGCAAAAGTCCCTGGTCCAGCCCACTACACGTCGTCCCGAAAAAGAATGGCGACATACGGGTATGCGGCGATTACCGAAGACTCAACGACGTAACTAAGCCCGACCGCTACCCTGTACCTCGCCTCAAAGACTTCACATACCTACTCCACGGCAAGAAGATTTTCACCACACTCGACCTGAATCGTGCATACCAACAATTACCCGTGTACGAACCCGACGTCGAGAAAACAGCCATAACAACCCCGTTTGGCTTGTTCGAGTTTCCCCGAATGTGTCCAGGCTTAAAAAACGCGGGACAGACATTCCAACGGTTCATACATCAAGTACTCAACGGGTTAGACTTCGCATTTCCATTTATTGATGACGTAATCATCGCGTCAGAAAACAACGCACGCCACATTGAAGATCTACAAGAAGTACTAAGAAGATTAAATGACTACGGTATCACCATAAACCCGTCAAAATGCGTCTTCGGTCAAGAAAACGTCAAGTTCCTAGGATATCAAGTGTCGAGCGAAGGAATCGAACCTCCACTTGATAAGGTCAACGCTATCACTGCTTACCCCAAACCCGAAACAATAGCGGACCTACGTCGATTTCTCGGCATGGTGAACTTTTACCGTGACAGCATACGCAACGCGGCCCACATACAAGCGCCGCTAAACGCATTTCTACATAACTCCAAGAAACGCGACAAAACAAAAATCGAGTGGAACAATGAAGCACTTCAAGCGTTCGAGTTGTGTAAAGCTAGCATACAAAATGCAGCTTTACTCGCTCACCCATCCTCCTCACCAACTCAACCAATATCACTCATGTGTGACGCATCGAACACCTGTGCTGGAGCTGTCCTACAACAACTTGTAAACAACAAGTGGGTTCCCCTCGGCTATTTCTCGAAGAAATTCTCAGAAACACAACAACGTTATAGTACCTTCGATCGAGAATTATTATCAATATATATGGCTATCAAACATTTTAGAAAAATGTTCGAAGGAAGAGAACTCATTGTTTACACCGATCACAAGCCACTTACCTACGCAATACGCAAGCCGCCGTCGGACAACGACACACAACGACGCACTCGTCAGCTGTTGTTTATAAGCGAGTTCACGACCGACCTACGTCACGTGACCGGAGCGAACAACGTAGTCGCCGACGCACTGTCACGCGTTGAAACGATCGACTTACCATCGCCGATAGACTACGATCAACTATCGCAAGCACAAGAAAAGGACAGCAATATTCTCAAACTATCTAAACAAACAAATATTCAACTCAAGAAAATCGCCATACCTACTTCAAACAAGCTGATTTACTGCGAAGTATCGACGCCTCACATCCGCCCATACCTACCAGTTGACTTTCGTCGCATCGCATTCAACGCCGTGCACAATACAAGTCATCCTGGTATTCGAACTACACGCAAACTAATGCAGCAACGATACTTCTGGCCGTCTATGAACACCGAGATTGGCGAGTGGGCAAAGTCATGCATTGAGTGTCAACAATCAAAGGTACATCGACATACGCACAGTGACGTCACATCATTCCCACCGAGCGAGCGTTTCGAACACGTACACATTGACATCGTCGGACCTCTGCCTACATCTTCGAGCGGACATCGATACCTACTCACTATGATCGACCGCTGCACCCGCTGGGCAGAAGCCGTCCCTCTGCGAGAGGTATCAGCCGAAGTCGTCGCAAGAAAGCTGTATGAAGCATGGATATCACGCTTTGGTTGTCCTATCAAAATCACGACTGATCAAGGACGACAGTTCGAGAGCAGCTTATTTAAAAATCTCGCTCAGCTACTGGGAATAGAAAGAACTCGTACTACTGCCTACCACCCGCAGAGTAACGGGATCGTAGAACGCTGGCATCGTACATTGAAAGCCGCACTCATGACTCGACTCGCCGACAACAACAAATGGTTGATCGAGTTACCTACCGTGCTACTGGGACTACGAGCCGCTACGCGCACCGACACTAACACTAGTGCCGCTCAACTTACCTACGGACAAGAACTACGGCTGCCCGGCGATTTCATATCGCCATCGCCTACCTACACGAAGATGGATAACGACTATGTGGCCGACTTGCATCGTGTTATCACAAGCTTAACGCCCGCTTATCAGTCGCACACTAATCGACTGAATATCTTCGTGCACAAAGACCTCCAAACATGCAGCCACGTATTTGTACGTGACGACGCAGTTCGCAAACCGCTGCAACGTCCGTACAAGGGTCCGTACCTAGTCACCAGCAGAAGCAACAAGTACTTCACGTTACAAACACCTAGAGGTACTACCAACGTGTCTATCGAGCGTCTGAAACCTGCTTACGTCATTAATCACGATAACTCAGACAACTGTGCAACGCCACCAGAGGCTATCCAGGATCAACCCAGTCAACCTCCGTCGAGCATCAGCGATGTACGAAGAACGCGAACAGGAAGAATCGTCAAGACCCCAGTACGCTTCGCTCGGGGGGGAGTACTGTAGCCGCACCGCACGACTACATACCTACCAGTTACCAGTACCACCGAATACCTTACCATATACCTTCCACAATACCTTTACCAAAAGTTTTAGACTTACTTCGTTTTAGAAACAAGAAACAAATTGTCTTGAAAAAGACAGTTTACGTTTTGACTCCGTTTTTAGAAACAAGAAACCAATTGTCTTGAAAAAGACAGTTTACGACTCTCTCGCATAGAAACGATAATAATCACTGCGGCAACAGCGTTATCACACCGTGCCGCGAGCGATCGCTTCGAAAGAAGCGGTTTGGTTAAGCAAGCAGCCAAGCAGCGCAAGCGGAGCCGGAGCCGGAGCACTTCCATTCGTCGTATCTTCATTGTTCATCTGTAGGTAGTCTTCAGTCTTCACTCGACGCCGGCGCTCGGAGAAATGCGCGCGCTCGCGCCGCGCGGTCATACTTATACGGAAGGAACCGATAGTGCCGTGTGCAAAGCGGCGCCCCGCACCCCGCGCGCCCCGCGCACGCCGGCGCGCCGCTATTGGTCGAAACTATCTCCTAACTATATCTGATATTGTCTAATTGTAAATATGTAAATAGAAATATAAGTAGCGTAGTTTGGCGAATTAAATCATTCTGGTCCACACCTCTCATCGGAGTTTTGCTAGTAATGGAAGAAAAGAAGAAACCTCCTCTAGGACACTAGGCTCTCCTACCTAGCTCCTAAAAACCTAATTATGACTTTCAATTCGAATTTACAAAACAGTTATTTAATATACCTTACTGTATATTTACTTATATTTTAATAAATGATTCACTTCGTTCATCGAAATTCATTGCGCTTTTTTGGTGAAGTTGTTTTATATACAAATCATGAATAATTTTGATATTAACATAAAGGCATCATCAAATACTGGACTACCAACATTAGGTGCTTGTACCTAAGTAATGTCGGTAGTTTTGTCTATGTGCAAGAGTAAAAATTGCAGCAATGTGAACATCCTATCGCGTGCAGCAGCATGTGCCACGAAGGAAGCCGCTTGAACGCTTCAAGGATTTATTAGTAATCCTTACAAAATGTTAATAAATCGTTGTTATTGAAATTCTAAATCCGGTGGCTGAAATTGTTTGTGTTTAAAAATGAATAGTATATTTTAAATTTATTAAATTGTTATTACTTGTATTATTATTGAGTTCGGGGCTCCTGCTTAAAGCAGGAGCAGGAATGAGGTGGTTTTTAGTCAGTAAGAGTCTGACACTTCCTCTTGCCTCACACTAAGCGGGAGAAGTACTTTAATGATCCCCCCCCCCCTCGATAAAACAGGAGGGTAGGTAGAGATAACGAGAGCGCCATACACTTATGACGTACGATGGATATCTACTTCTTTGACTAATACACCGTTACATTTACATATGCTTCGACACAATATCTATTTATGTTTACTCAATTTTTTATGCATTTCGTTAGCTCTAAGTAACAAATGAATTCACTAATGAACTGAATTTGCAACTCAAAATTGATTCGATTCTATACTAACAGAATATCCTCTGTCAGACAATAAACTTTCTTTTTACTAAAATTGGACTTATAATATAATATTGAATAGAGTCAGGCGTTACTTTGCGGAAATCATTAAATGTTAGTGTAATAAGATAAGTATCATCTGAATAGTGGTTATCCTCTGGCCCCTCTAGTGTGTGTGGTGACTGTCAATTGCACTACAATATTTTTGACGTGACAACGTCTTAAATTAGGTTGCGGCTGGGAGTCACTTATGAAAAAGTGTAACGCTCGGTAACGTTACGATGAGTCACCGAACGAGAGAGAGGCCCGCCGAATGCCTTGCGTCTCTCTCCCACTCAACTATGATCGGTCTGCCGCGCGCGCAGCACTAGTTCATTCAATTCCTTGTTCCTATTGTGCAATTTAATTATATTCATATCAATAAATATTCTACCGAGAAAAAGACGTTGTCACGTAAAATCTTCGCCCGTAAAAACGACTTTACAGGCAACCATTTTTTTTTTTAATAAACTTTGTCCCACACTAGGTTTTCTGCTGTGTCGTGGGTGCGTTTACAAAATACAAGTTCACAGTGACACAATGACACCCAGACCCGAAAGAACAGTTTGTGGATCACACAAAGCGTTGTTCCGTGCGGGAATCGAACCCGCGACACGTTGCGCGGCAGCCGGTTGCCCAGCCACCGCACCAACTGTGCAGTCTCATAATGTCTCGATAGAAGTTCTCAAAAGTTCAAAACAAAATATTTGATTCACAGGAGGACATGGCATAATGCTGGGCTTCATAAACTCCATAGTGCACGCAGTCATGTACTCCTACTACCTGATCTCCATTGTACGGCCGCAGTGGGTGCGGCAATGGTGGAAGAAGTACATCACACAACTGCAGATTGTAAGTAAAAGATAATTTGATTATCCCTAACGCGCGTATAAGAGTTATTGAGCAATAAAAGTACAGAATTTACGATGCGAATTTATTAGTCAACTGTAGGTAGGTTCTATCCATTAATTGGGTACTGTTTCTACATCAACGAATTGGACTCGTGACTGGTTAATGGATTATTAAAAAATATAGAGCTACTTAGCAATTTTTTAAATAAATCATTTTTACATTGCAGTTGCAGTTTGTTATCCTGATCTTACACTTCGGCCACGTGCTGTTCGAGCCCTCGTGCGAATACCCGAAGTGGGTCTCCTTCATGTTCCTGCCGCATAACATATTTATTTTATTTTTATTCTCCGACTTCTATATTAAAGAATATATCCTAAAGAAAAATAAAAATAAAGCTAAGTAGATAAGTATGCATAGGTAGTGAATATATTATTGTTAATAATTATTATTTTAATTATAAAGTAGTTATAACGATGCGGTGGTTTTATTTTCTATCTTTTTTATTTTCTATATTAATATCAATTTAATTCATACGGATAAAAATTTAAATTCAAAACTGTGGATACGTACCGCCATCTACTATGCCTATGCCACTTACCTCTATATTTATTATACTCTCTGATGATGCTGAATTAAAGTAAAAAAAGTTGTATGAATTAGAAGACCGATTTATCCCGCTTTTTACCATTTCGACAATATCGAGACTCGGAAACCAACGACCATACTTGGCTGTATATTACATATTATTTTGGTTCTAAGAAAACGTTTTAAATATTTTAATCAATAGTGGATACAATAAAATATCAAAATAAAACTAATAAAATATCAAAAGCCAAGGTTCCAGTCAGTATCATTCAAGGGAAAACCGAGTTGAAACATTATGGTTCGTATAATGACAATGACAGTAAACCTATTTGACATTTGACAGTATGTCATTGGAATGTTTTGTTGTTTTCCACCTGTGAAGTGTGAATTTCGGAAAATAATGTGATATTGTGGTCTATTTAATTAAAACTTAATTTACTTTGAATTGTTACTAGATTTACAATCTGACAAAATGTCAAAAGAAAGCAACATATCTAGACCAGGGGCTGCCGCATTGGAAAATATGAAACTGTTGAAACACGAGAGTTCTATATTTAAGGTTCCAAAAGTACCAAAAAAGAAGGAAATTATAAAGAAAACACAAGTTTTGGACGAAGATGTATACGTAGAGGTTAGTAAACTATAAGAAAAATACATAAAATCTCTGTTATGATTATAATTAACTAATTAACACAATCACTACTATAATGGACTTCGTCGTTATATTGTTGTCATTGACACACAATTTACTATTGGTCACGACTTTATAAAGGCCGTTGTACATACAGTACATTGAAGACTTGAGGTATACTGACGAAAAGTTTTAGTTTAACATTGACCTTGGTAACCTAAGGTTAAAACTAATTACTAGTGACTAATAAAGCTATTAGCATTCTACTTACAGAGTTGGCAGCATTGTAAAAAAAGTAATTAGTATATACTAGAATTCTTTTTCATTAAAAAATTGTAGGTATGCTAACTTAATCACTGAATCCCAACAACAAATATAATTATTGAACAGTTATGTTGAATTATTTGATAGGTAATTATGATTTTAACGTCTTAACATAAATACCAAAAGTAATTTACTCAATTTGTAACTAAGACAAGAATATCAAAAAAGTTTGTATATGTTTCAGGGTATTGCTAAAATTATACAAAGAGACTTTTTTCCCGATTTAGAAAAACTTAAGGCACAGAATGAATTTCTAGAAGCAACAGAAAATAAAGATTATGCACGTCTCAGAGAACTAACTAGGAAGTATAGTGGTCAGAGACCACCCACGGAACCTTGTGAGTATTCCATTTATGAAGTTACTGATAGACATAAACTTGAGTTGAATATTAGGTTGTTATTTTTTTAAAAATTACATCAGACAGTAATTTTGAATTAGAGCCATAATACAGGCATTCAAGATAATTCTTACAAATTCGACTTTCGATAATACTTTGCCCCATCTGGTTATTAAATCCCATGAATTTACTTTGTAGCAGCACTGGGCATTACTTGTCCATTCTATGAATTAAATAAGACATGATATTTCTATCACTGCCACTGACTTGCTATTGAGTAAACAAGATGTCTAAAAAAGGTTGGAACTTTCTGCTGTTAACCTATTATTACTTACTCCTTATATTTACTTTTTTCGTTTTACAGATAACTCCCCAGCTACATTTGACACTCCGCACTTGGACCGGCCGTTCTCACCGACCGCTCCGACAAGGGACCAACCAGACTCGGACACAGAATCTGTCTCCAGTAATAAACCAAAAGATATTACAGACAAACATTCTTTAGGTATGAACATTTTATTTTTCTTGTAATTGTCGCCTTCATTATGATATGAGTTTCATGTAATAAAGTGACTCTTATGCTTATATTGGCGTTTACTGGGTCCCATGTTAGACTCTGTGTTACTCTATTTGGTATATTTAGTTGTTTTCGTAAAACACATTTGTGTTTTTTATTAGAGTCTGATAAGTATTGACTATGCCTCACCCCGGAATCAAACCACACTCTTGCGCACCAGCCACAGGATTGAGTTATCACAACTAATAAAATTTTTGCACTATCAGTTCCGATTTAAGATTATTATGTAAAATCTAGTAATCTCTAATCTACATTTACACAAACAATGCTGAGATTAATCATTGCTTTGATTACTGGTTACGCAAGAATTACGCCACATTTCATAATATTTCATAACAACATTATTTTCTTGGTACACCTGTTGGTGTGTCGTGATGGACTGGATGGATTTTTTTGTACAGTTTTCACTAGTAGACAGAGTAGTTTTTTAGAGAGATAGCTAAAAAGCTAAATATGTAATGTTTTAGTACATATATTTAAATAGTTAAATAGTTACACCAGTGAATCTGCGGAAAAATATTACAATTTTAAGATCAGCTGATATTTTTTCTCCCCCATACTAATCTGTTTTGTTTATTCTATATATAGGTTTTCTTGGACAAACAGTAAATACACTATTTTTGTCAGTCTTTTAGTATAAAAACTTAATTTTTTATACAATTTCCCTACAGACTCATATTTAGCATCACACACAAGTGAAGACAACGCGAGCTATGACCGCGTCATCTCGTTGGAGAATAAGAAACGCGCCACGAAGCTGGCGACACAGTTACAAGCAGAGGTGACGTCATTAGCCCTCGCGGACGCGGCGCTCGCACTGCCATCTATCGAACAACAAGCCGACCAGACTGAGAGACCACATGAGGTATGTATTACGGGCTTATTTACTCAAAGGGTGAAGTTGGACAACCAATATGAAAAGGGGTCCCAATTCTAAAATTATTCCTAAAAATCCTATATCTAGTAGTATCCGTAAGGAGTGATTCCTATCAGAGTATTCTCATTTAAACCGCTATCGTAAACTACAGGGTGCTCAACTTCATAACACCTATTTTGTTACAGCTAGATACATGGCGCTACAAAGCTAAGAACTACATAATGTACGTCCCGGACGGGGCGGAGTCCCAGCGGCCGCCACCGAAGCCCGAGCTGGTACACCAGAACACACGTCTGAAGGCTGAACCCTTCGACCATGTGAAGAACAAAGAAGCCATCAGCGCTATTGCTAGGAGTCAGGTACGATAGAACCATATTATCGTTGACAGGAAAAGTGTTTGTTTTGTCACGTTTGCGTTTCACCCTCTGATAAGTTTTGAATACAAGATTATTTCTGTCTGATCTCTTTGTTTTAAAGGCCATTACGACTCTTGTTATCTAGAAAATAACATAACATTACATTACGTCTTTTTGTCCCCGAAGAGGTAGGAGGAAGCATTAAGTATACTTCTGTCCCTACAAATTCTTTGTGAAATGATAGAGATGGCACGATATATAAGCACGACTTAAAATTGAGTAACGTTTTAGTATTCCGGCATTAGTGCCACCGTAGATACAATATAACACACCCACTTTTAACTATTTATGTTATGAGTCCCATGTAATAGGGGGTGAGCCTATTGCCATATACCGGGCACAATTCCAGACTCCGTGCTACTACTGAGATTTTTTTGAAATCCAGTAATATTTTGCCCGACCCGGGAATTGAACCCGAGACCCCATGCCCGGCAGTCGCACTTGCGACCACTTACCCAACGAGGCAGTCATTTCATTCAGTCATGTCATTTCTGATTGCTGATGTTCCCAGGACGCGAGTGTAACAGGCAAGATAGGTGTGGACGGTGTGAGTATATCGACGGAGAAGTCCGGCGGGGCATACTCTTTAGTGGCCACACCCTCGCCGCGGCCAGGGGAGGGACCTGACCAGTCGCCCATCATGACCTGGGGAGAGATCGAAGGCACTCCATTCAGGCTCGATGGTGGAGACACGCCCTTACCAGCGTGAGTATTATAAGCTAAGAGTTAATATGTTATGTAGATTTTAATGTATTAAGTGTGGGAGAGCCATGCTTCGGCACGAATGGGCCGGCTCGACCGGAGTGATACCACGGCCTCACAGAAAACCGACGTGAAGCAATGCTTGCGTTGTGTTTCATCGTGTGAGTGAGGTTACCGGAGGCCCAATTACCCTTATTATCAATCTCCCCAATTCCTGAATCCCCAACGATCCTCAAACTCCTAATCCCCAAATGGCCGGTAACGCACTTGTAATGCCGCTGGTGTTCCAGGTGTCCATGGGCAATGCCGATTGCTTACCATCAGGTGATCCGTCTGCTCGTTTACCGGCTTATGCCATAAAAAAAAGAAAAATATGTATTCTGTTGTTAATCGGTTTCAGTCAATACTGCTTTGAAGTCGCTTTTATGATCATTCACTCTACAATAGACTTTGTAAGTTTAAGTGTTACAGTATTAATTTATTATCATTAATTTGTTGTTGTTAGTGTGGGTGCTGGCGCAGCGTACCGAATGTTAGAGGGCGGCGTGCGCGAGCGCATCGCGCTGCAACTGGCCGAGCAGGCTGCCAAGAGACGTCGGCCCACCACGCCGCGTATCGCACCGCCTACGCCAAGGTAATCCACGAAGTAATATGTACAATACATCTCACACAAATCATAAATAAATGTCAGGATTACTCACAAACTAACAATAAAAAAGCAATTTGCAAATATTTACTTATGTTATCAATTCTCTTTTCAGTTTTCGATCGAATACAGAACGGCTTGCAAGCATGTCGCCGGCCGCGAGAAAATTAGCAGCAAAACATTTAATGTCTCCTCGACTGAAGTTAACTCCTAACGACATGGGTATATTATCTCATGCTACTCCGAAACGGACCCCGACCCCACAAAGACCTCTAGTCGCCACACCCATCGGGAAGAAGACCCCGCGACCGTCTCGCGAAGGCAGCGTCAACAATAACATGACCACAGAAGATAACAATCTCACAGATAATCTATTACAGATCAATGTTGCCAAGCGCACGAGACTAAAAGCTCAAGATTTTTTCAAATAAATTATTGTAAGGTTGACAATGTCTTTTATTTTCCTCACCCTGAAATAGTGTCGTTTTGTGTACTTATGAAAAATAAAAAGATTTTTTTACATTTAAAATATGTTTAGAAAAAAAAAAATATTTTAACAAAAACATATTTCTACCATTTGATGGTGCAAAAATTTAGAAGTAAAAGAAGTTGTAATTGATACCACACTTCGTAGAAGACTAGCTTGCCTCGGTTATAACAGACAATAGGGCGATGGTCAGACACAAAGACTATCGTGTTATATATGGGTTTTGCTTTTGCACGGTATTAAGACATACGTTTACCGATATAAGGTCCAGAAGATTAAATCGTGACATTAAATGGTAATTAGAATACTACAATATTGCCCGAGGTCGAAGGTAGATCGTCATATAGGTACCGAGGCCCCGGCACGGAGTAGGATTTCAAAAGAGGTGGATTTTATTCAGTAGCTGTCTGGCACTCCCTCCGACTTCCCCCAGGACGAGAAGACTCATTTGAAGGCATTCCAACAAAAAAAACTGCAACTGATCATTATTTTGAGTTTACTAGCACTTTTAGAAAGCAAAAAATGTACCAAATGATGAACTTTCGAACTGGTACAACTTCTTTATCTTGGATACTACAACTTTTACGCAAATATAATTATTGTTTCTCTGGCTAGTTCTAACGATATGTAACATTTTTTTAACCTACCTTGGTATATTTTCACTAAATTACCCACTTTTATACACTTGTACTATGTTTATTTATTTATTTAATAATTTATGACAGACAAACACTGTACTTATTCCAGTTGGAATTTGTTCCAGTAGACCTGAGACAGGAAATGTAATTAAAACATAACACAGTGTGTAACAGAAGAGAAAACGTTATGAAGTCTTAGCCTATTCAAACTTAACTGGTGTATTTTTGTTACAACTGATAACTCTGGAACATTACATTTTTCTTCGACTGCCTCGTTGCCGGTTTGGTCTCTAGTGCGACTGCCGGGCAAAGGGTCTCGGGTTTTAAAAAAAATAAGTACTAGTGGTAGCACGGAGTCTGGAAACGTGCCCGGTATATGGCAATAGGCTCACCCCCTATTACATGGGACTCATAACATAAATAGTGATAAGTGGGTGATACATTGGCAGTAAGTGCCGTAACGTACACTTCTGCCTACCCCTTCGGGGATAAAAGGCGTGATGTTATGTTACATTTTTTACTTTTTAGCAACATTATCAGAACATTATCAATATTTTTTTATTCTTATTTTATTTGAGAGGTACCTATGTAAGAATCGTGGCAATTGCCGTTCCAAATCGTCTATCCCCATGAAGAGGTCGCGGAGAACCTAACGGGTTACCGGGGCTCCGGCTCGACGTGCAGGAGAAAGAACGGGGTGGTTTTTAGTCAGTAAGAGTCTGACACACCCTCCCGCCTCACCCAGGTGGGAGCAGTCATTCGATGAAATACCCCCCTTAAAAAAAATCCCCACGAAGAGAGGCGTGAGGTTATGTAATTATGTATTAATGTTTAATTTTATCAACAATTTCGGTTTATACTTACTACTTTAGTTCGGGTCGTGCCGACTAATTAAGGTTTTAAAAAAAGAAAACACAAATATACATGATATGTCATTTATTAGGCCCTGCTTTGAATAATTACAAAATATATTTTTATCTATTACAAGTAGGTACACACTAATTTTTATCTAAAAACATTTATTTTGTGCATTTCTAAGATATAACAGAATTTATTGCATTGTAAAACGTTATCGATAGACAGTAAAATTGCATTATTTTATGCACTACATTCGTTTAATATAATTTTTTAAATATCAAACGTAAGTACATTACAAATTGACACCATTATCACTTTAATATCCCCCAAAATGGTAGGAGAAAAATTCCCATTTATTTGTGCTAATACCTAATGAAGATTTCGTATAGCGAAGCACTCAATCACACTTCACTCGACCTGGGGGTCTTGTCCAGTACTCACGCTTTGACCACACGAATAAAAGGATTGTCTATACAAATTGTATTTGACAATAAAATCTATATCAAATAAATCCAATAAAAATTATATGTATAAGTTACTTTAAAAATTGATAAAATTACGAACATTGTTTAGGTATTATGTAAATGATTATCTACAATATTGATTAAGTTCCTAATTTTTTCATTATTGTCGTTTGAACAATTTTCCAAACTACAGTTTAGGTAGGTATGTAGCTATTATTTACCTATTTATTTTTGGTTCCAAATATGGAATTCGTCATTTAAAGTGCCTAAGTAATACTTGCTTTGAAATATTAAACGATTTATATAATAAATAAGATACTATCAATATTACATAAAACCAATCTCATAATTTAGCCATGAAATTAATAACTACTTAATTTTAATTAAATGCAATAAATATAATAAATCATTTTTATCTATTAGATTTGTCTAGTCATAATCCGATAACAAATCATATTAAATATTATGTTTTGTTAAAACTTATACACAAGGTAAGCCGTAATTTCGTTAACCATTGTCACTTCTTTCTGGATATTATGCATTACATTTTATATTATGTAATATGTAAAAATAGCATATTTTTGTAATATAATAATACAACTGTCTCAGCTTAATCCCCATCACCGTCATACCAGTCAATTTAATAAATAACTAAATAATACTAATACAAAGAATACAAACATATTTGTTCGCACACCGCGTCATGACGTCCTACTAGATATCATGTAACCACCGAAACAGCTCGTGTAACTTATCATTATAAGTATTTATCGATTTAATCACGTATTTGCTTAGTCAAAAAGTAGATAATCGTGTACTACCAAATTAAGCTGAGAGCCGCACTATACCACGTCTCAGGTTTACGATTCTTGAAATATTCCGCGTTACTCACCGGCTTAGTGTCGTCTGTAGGGTCCTCTTCGAAAATATTGACTAGAGATTTTTTAATACCGAACTTGAAGAAAGCCAAGTATGGGAAGTATCTCATTAGGAAGACGCTGAACCAGAAATTGAGGTTGATGTAAAGTCTGCCTAAATATGAGGTGTATAAGGTCGAGTACTGGTTGAACATGAACATCTTGTATTTGGCCTTAAAAGTGAGGTGCTTGTAGTACGGCGTAGTCTCGATGGTGTTGAAGTCCTTGTAGTAGAGCAGGCGCGGTGGGGTCTTAGGCAGACCGTCTATGGCCGGCTTGCACATGAATTCTGTAGAATCCACCCCTGCAGAACAAAATAACAGCACTTAATGAATATATCTTACCCATTCTACGATACCTATTTACGTGCACCTGTTATTTCCCAAGTCATTTTGCAATTAAATACGTACTTAGAGGTACCTGTTTTATATTATTCTATACTACTGGCAACGTCTATGTAGAAACGTTCATGGAGGTCAATAAATTCATAATGATTACTCCCCCGCCCCCCTCTTATAAAGAAATTACTCAAACACTTTGGAATAATTTAAACGTCCTGAGACTATGACCAATCACGTCAAAGATAACATCATAGAGAAGTAACTTACCAGTGTCAAGAGGCTTCCCTTTCAGTTTTTCCTTAAGTTTCATCTGGAAGTTCATCCTATCAGATTCAGTGTAGATGTAGCCGGGGACATCAGCCAGTACCCTGCACCAGTACAGCACAGCGTCGGTCTCGATGGTCGGGTTGATGTTCCACAGGCCCTCCAACATAACACGAGCTGTGTGCTCGAAGTATTCGGGAACATTTTCCAGACACGGCGTGTATACTCGTTCTTTGAGAAGCTGGCACACTTCAAGGGTTTCCTCGAATGTATCGCGGGCGATGTTGTACCTGACAATTTACGAATGTATCTTTAGTAAGTTCTACGTCATTTTAGGGCATCCCTGGTGGACTATCCCCGGTACTGACCGACCTGCCCACGTCAATGGTGATAGAGCCGTAACCAGTGAGGGTTTGTAATTCGCACGTAAAAATCAAAGTTTATTAATAAGTTTAACTTCAGAATATGTCGTTAATTTCTAAGCATGAAACTCGAGAAGGTAAACAGCTGATCAGATGAAAGAAAGAAAAACCAGGACAATATAAAATAGGTACAAGAACAAAAAATAAGTATAAAGTCTGTCGCAGTACTAAAGAAAAGTGCTCAGATTAATGCAGCCGCTGACCTGGGCACGAAGGCTTCAGTGAAGCATTCTATTTCTATATTCTAAAATGAAAATATGTTTTTGCAACTTCATAGCTGTAGGATTAGCTACTGAACCCACCTGTCTTCAATTCCGATCATGTACCCAATGACTCTCCAGGTGTAGTTGTAGGCTTCCCAGTCGTCTTCATGAAGCTGTCTGATGCCAAACTTGTCTGGCTTCAGCATGGAGAACCCGATGAAACCAAACTGTGTGAGAGCCAGGTCTCTTTGAGACACCACTCCCATACCTTTGATCTTTGAAGCAAGACCCGCTCTTAAATGTCTGCTCCTCACTGTGTATAGCGATTTCCATGATCTGTGAAATATTTCAAACATTTTATTTTATTATATTTATATTTATTTTTTATTTTCAAAGGATTACATGGGATCAACCCACAGATATATATATTTCTGTGGATCAACCTCTTTCTATGTTGAGTCTATCCTATTGACGGCTGGAAAAACACCCTTTGTAATTTAGGTACCTATATATTATTATCTGTGTTAAAAAATTTAAAAAAGTTCATTCTGCTCAACAGCCGATTTTGTGAGAAGACTAAGAAGGTCTATGCAAGAAAATTAATAATATTAGCTTATTAATTAGCTATCTGTTAATATAGAGAGTAGATGTATAATTATCTTATCCTAATGCTAGCAAAATTGTTTGACCTATGACACTATATCAGCAACACATTAAAATGATATTTGATGAGCGAACAACCTACATTTGAGGCCTTACAAAGACAGAGTGTGTTATTTTTTATTTCTAGCATTTCATGTTACTTATTCCTTTTTGCAAAAAAATAAATATTCACTACAAGATAGCTATCTTGTAAAATTTCCACTGACATAAACTGAATGATAATTATGAAAAATATCTATCAATAACATTTAGGGACGATAACAAATTCTCAAAATCGCAATAAAGTAAACAGAAAAACTTGCACATTTTCCGTTATAATTAACATAATGGTATAATTATAATCTACACCTAGTTACTTGTTATTTACGTAAATATTATCAATTGGTGCTAGGCATATTATTATAAATTTATCTTTATACATAATTCCTACCAAAATATGTAAGAATCCGCTTTACGTAAATGGCATACTCATTTATAATCTAGTGATAAAAGATTATGATATAATGTTAATTCTCAATGTCCAACGATTATGATAAAGAGAAAAAAAATTAAACTCATTCTTCAGACATCAATTGATTTTTCTTCAATAGCTTCTCTTGATAGAGGTTCATGTTTTCCAACCGCTTAACTACACTTTTTTATCAAGACGCTGATATCGATCAATCGATCGGTTTGTCTTGTCTCTAATTTAAGTTTATTTAATGCTTTAAATATATCCGGCCCATTCGTGCCGAGGCATGGCTCTCCCACACTTAAAGTAAAGTATACCACGTCTCATGACCATTATTACCTGCACAAAGAAACTAATAAAACAGCATACTCACATGCTTCCTGGCTTCAGTTCGTTCTCGAACCAGGATACGGTGTGTAGTAGTGTTGAGAGGTATCGCCTGTACGCTGTGTACACGGAGTTGGATCGTCGCGTCCCCACCAGTATACGCAAAATGGATGGTATCGCGAACACGGCAGCCAATCCCAACAACATGGATGATGACATCGCGAAGCAGTTGTCCAGGTAGAACTTACGGCCCCTGTACAGCAGAAATGTTTGATTACATTGTTGAATAAAGTAATATTGAGAAAACCAATAGAAGATATAACATTATAAAGAAAAGGATTACAGTATTTTTTCTTAATATCAAGACTGGTCCTTTCAAATTAGTACTTCTACCTAAGTATGGACAAAAACTATTTATAGAACAAATACTACCTACACAATTCTTGGTAAAGTGATAAGAAAATTAATATTTTATTAATATTCTTTCACCTTGATCTTTTCCGTATTAAATATCACATCAATAGACTGGACGGACCTTACAAACGAGTCTTCTTAGACTTTGATAGGTCATTTTTTTATTAAATGCACAAACAGCAAACACTAGTCAAATCTGTAATCTTAGGACATGATTATTATTGCAAGGTAACTATGAATTATACGAGTAAAATAATTTATATTTGTTGGACCAAGGACGATTTCGCACAATCTGGTACGTATAAAAATCCTGCATGTGGTTAGCATAAATCGCTTTTGCACTTAGGTAGGTATGTATTACAGTCTGGGCGAGGGACGCAAGTACCAACACCAGACTGCACAGATATTTTTCAATTAAGACCCATTGGCCCTCAATTGAATCCTCTTTGCCATTCACAAAGACAACAAAAGTTACTTGACCGACCAATGTATATTTGTTTATTGAACAATGTCATCGTATAACAATCTTTCAGTTAGTTCTCATGCATACGTAGGTACGTAATGGCAGTTTTAATTACAAGCAAATAAGTGAACTTATTATCTTGATAAGTACTGGTAAATGTCTACATCTTAAAATAATTTGTAAATGAAATATTCCAGAAATACCCAGCCGTTCTCTATTCTGTGACTGTTATGATTCTGCGACTATTTAGATGGTAGATAAAGACAATGAATGCTAGTAAGTAACATCAATCAGTTCAAAGTATAATGCTCTGTTATAAAAACGTAAAAGCGGATACCTAGTATCTAACTTTTTTTTTCTTTGATGGCAGATGGAAACCTTCAAAAGGCGCCTACCTTTGTGGGGAGAAAGACTACGCAGTGTGGGATTTTTACCTCACTAAAATAGAACACCAACCCGGTGGCCAAACCCTGCACCTGTACCGAGGGCACCGGGTCCTCTAATAATCTAATAATGCTCCGAAGCCTGGGGGCTCCGGAGCAATATTAGATTAACAGAGCAACAGAATAGATATTGCACCGTGTCAAAGTCAAAGCATTTATTTCAATTAAACCAGTTTGGTACTTTTGAAACGTCAACAAATACAAAATAAATAATAGTCTGTCAGTCAGTCCGTCAGTGAAGCTAGGTGAAGCTAGGTGCTCATTCCAAAACGTAGATTCGAATGGAGAAGAACGAGCAAGAAACTCCATTCGTTACTCTTTTAAAAAAGTATGTTCTACAATGTCTCTGATACATATTTCAATACTGTACGCATATGTAAGAACAATGCAAAGACACGCTTGACGCATTATACTACTAACTTACTAAAATAAAAATAAAAATAATAAAGATCTTAAGTCCAACATGGTGCTCACATATGCATACTGACAATCCATAGAAATAGTGCTTCTATACAAGAAAAAGGGGGGCGGCGTGGCGTGGGCGGCGCAATGCAGGTTCTGGGACATTCTTAAGCACCTAGTACCTACCTACAAACTCTATTTACTACTACAATATATTCAAATATAAAAAATCATAACTTTGTATACTTTTCCTTTATAAATCAAGTCAAAGATAGAGGGTGTATATCTGCACAATCTTTGTAAGGAGAAGCTGATTCATATATTGCGTAGGTAATCCTTTAGTAAAACGAGCAGGTAAGGTATGGTCCCCCGTATTGCCAAGTATTCTACATAATTCAGTTTGGCTTGCTTCGCAAACTATGACTAATGAACGAAAATTGGAATATCAGCATGACTTGCATAAAAACCATTTTCCTGTTGAATAAGAAAAGTTTACCATAATTGATTGATGAACTTGGTACGTACTTGATACTTGGTCGAAGGTATGTTTTGTAAAAATTGAAGCTCTGTGAATAAACCTGCTATACGACCGAAAAAGACTGTTATTGTAAAGTAAACTTAAGTATTGTAAAGTTTTTATTACCTAAAACAAAATCTAACCATTGATCTTTCTAAGATCATGTTTGAATGGATTTAAAGAGATAGATTATCTTGCTCACAGAACATATAAAGAAGGCTATATGTTCTGTGATCTTGCTTATATTCAAGAGTAGAAAAAACTACACATTTTCGACGATTTTGGAAAAAACCAAGAGAAAGGAAGAATTCTAATTTTGCTCAAGAATAAAGCAAACATCTATACAAATTTAGTAATTTGAATATTTACTCACTTGTTAAATTTCTCTTCATCGAACCATTTTGGTAGTTCTAGTGCTAGTTCTTCTGGCTTTACATTGTCTGATGGATGGTCTAACGCCTCCTGGGTGAGGAGAGCGTCCACGAACGCTTCCGCTGTAACAAAAACATTTTAAATGAGCAGATGTAAACGGCAAAAATATTATTTTGCATCTTATTCGACTTTTTCCTAGAAAACATGTCAAACATAAAACTGATTGATATTCTTGACATCTTCACATGTACCAAATTCTAGATCCAAATCGAATACGTAACTAAAAATGTTTTAGGGGTTTCTCAGGGAAGCATTTTGGGGCCAATCCAGTTAAAACTGTCAAACACAGCGAGGACACCAGTGGCCGCAACCTATTGTTCTTTAATTGTGTCTATAATGACGTTACTCAGTGTTAAAATTATTTCTAAAATTTTGCTCATTAAGTTTATAAATTATGTTTTAATAAGTATTAGCCATATTATGATTAACTGGTTATCAATGATATTACCTACTTCCCACCTGTACAACTTTTTTTCTAAAAACGCGATTCATAATGGTAACAATGGTTTCGAACAATCATGATTGGTGGGCACTTATCAGTAAATTTGTAAACACTGGCCGGAACAATATGCATTTTGATGTCTACTCTTGCACCAAAGCCACACAGGGCAACGTTTTCAACATGGAAATTATTTTCGTTCAGTTGTTTATGTTTTTATTATCGTCGCATCTCAGTAGCTGCGATTGGGTAAGAATAATATAAAAATACGTATTTTAACAAAATTAAAATTTAACCATATTTTCCATTAATTAAAAAGCCAAGTGAAACATAAAAAGATACTACCGTTATTATCTGATTGTAATAATTTTGCTAATATTATCCAACAGGTCTCAGAATGGATGGGTCCTATCCAAGATCAAATGTAAGTTGTTTTCCTTATTTTCATTTTATAAAAGCACCTAATATCTACCTTTTTGGACATGGGTAGTAAGTAAAAAAATACGAATGTCGAAGTTAAAATGTGTTCACAAATAAAATAACGTAACAATAGTATAGTAGCATGGGTATAAAAACATAACATACCATGAGTCTATGAAATATAGGGGCCCCAACGAACCCACACAAGTGTAGTAGGACCAGGAAAACCATGGTTTAGTTTCCTAATTAACAGCACTCTAAGAATATGTCGCAATGGCGTAAGAATAGAGCAATTAGGGAAAATTATATTAAATATAATACAGGAAACAGTATATTAAACTAATATCTTTTTTTTTAAGAGATGTACAAAGAAGATCCAATGGCGAAAAGGTGATTCAAATCGTTCCGGAACAATTTGACAAGAAGTCAGAGGACAAAGTGCCAACCCAGCTATCTCCTATGACCCTGAAGATCAAGCTGGAGGAGACACTTCGTTCAGCCAAGGTGTTAGCAGAAACTTTGAAGACACAAATTGGCGACCTGATGAAACGAGAGAATTTGCTAAAGAACGCCATCACGAACGGCAGGTAACGTGGCATTTATTCTAACACTTTGACGTGAACAGAAGTTTCAGTATACCTCTCGTATTTCTTCACTAGAACTCTTGAAGGGATTTCAATACAATAATGGTATAAGCTATAGCTCTAACTTGATTGAACATTATTATAATTTCATACTATTAACTTAGGAATACGTGAATGGGCGTGTTTATTGATTTGTCCACAATATAAATAAAGCTTTGATAATATTCGGACTCGATAACTTTACTCTTGACTCGCAAATCAACCCGCAATAAAAAAGTAAAACCAATCCTTTTCAATACTTTATGAACTAATAAAACAAAGAGGAATGTAATTTTATTGGAAAGCCTCTATTATCAGCATTGTATCTGGATCTACTATAAGTGGACTGTTCTAAAGGTACATACCTAGTGACAACTCAGTAAGGTCGTAAAGGATTACTAATTGCGTAATAAAAATGCACTGTTTAGTAATAAATAGTTAAGAATACCGTTGATGATAATAATATTGATATAATAAACTAGTGTATACCCTGTATATTATACAGGGTAGTGGTGTAAACAGAATGCTCCCGCCTGTATAATGAATAAATAACGCGAAAACAAAAATGATCAAAACTATAAAAACAATTCATTTTGCCAACGTTTCGGGAGTGATCCGTTTACACCTCGAACATCCTACTTATTTAGTAAAACGATAAAATAAATAAAGTAAAGTATGGGAAATAAACACGAAATAAATAAGCTGTATAGCTAGATAGATCTCGATTTCTTTAATGAAATTTCCTTTCATATATCTAATTAGAATTTTGTATTGAGACCGCCAAGTGAACTCTGAATCTTTTAAATAAGTTCTTTATGCATTTTACCTCCGATCACACACTTAGTTACATTTGATCGAAGCGTCTTACTGACTGAATATGTTTTAACGGAACTAGATTTCACCCACATCCACGTATAATTATTAATCGTTATTTCTTGGTCTACTTACCTATAATATAAATCATTATCAATCACAAGCATGCAGCAGTTTTGTGTTAGCGTTAAAAACACAAATGTCAAATTAAGAAAGATTTATTCATTTTTTATACTTCTTATTTCTTTTACTCTGATTTATGGAAGGAAATGAAAAATGGATTTATCGCAATAACTCATGTTAAGGAAAATATAATATTTTACGGGCATTTATCAAGAAGTGTAGCAAATAAATAATAGTCTCGAGCCATTAATGTGTTTATAACGGGTAAATCAGCGAATAGAACCAGTGACCACTGAGCATTAAACTGTCAAACACCAAGCGGTCACCGGTGACCGCAACCTATTGTTCTATAATTGTGTCTACAAAACCGGTACTCGACGAATTAAATTAAATATTTTGATCAAGCTATATTTATAATTCTGAAGTACAGTCTAATTATAACAACTATAAATACTATAATAGGTAATAGATAATTTTATATTATAACTAAATGTCCCGGCAAACTACGTACCGCCTACATTTTTTCTCACCATTTGAACCTCCCATGGACTTCCACGAACATTTCAAGACCAAAATTAGCCAAATATGTTCAGCCGTTCTCGAGTTCTAGCGTTATACAGAAGATAGATTTTCGTTAGACATCCTTACTAATATTATAAATCGGAAAGTGAGTTTGTTTGTTTGTTTGTTCCGCTTTCACACCATAACTCCTAAACCGATTGCTTTGAATTTTTGCAGACGTAAAGTTGGAAGTCCGGATTAAATAATAGGGTATTTTTTATCCCGGAAAAATTTGTTATTCCCAAGGGAAAACAAAAGTATTGGTATAAATGGCGCTGTGTATATGGGTACATGTCGCATATGCTACTTTTTATTTTTTTGTGACGCGAGCGAAGCCGCGGGTAAAAGCTAGTACTAAATAAACGTTCGCCGCGTGTCGTGTGTCGCGCATTGCAGCCAGCTATTCTGTCAATTCGAAATTTTGGAATTAGCTCGATCGCATTCTCTCCCGTCATTCGTTGATATTATTCTCACAAACAATGACATGGCTGACCGCGATCGAATACACTTCTTTCAAATTAAAAGTTACAGAATAACTAGTTCCTCATGAATATGATGAACCCCTACTGTGGTTCGAAACTAATCGAGTCTCTCGTCAAGCAGTTACCCAGGGAAGCCGGTAAACATAATAATTAATCTAGTAGATAATTAGAATTCAGTTTATTCGTGGTAGGTAATATTTAATGACTAGATTATGCAGTAAAAAGAATCATTATAGAGATTGCTTTGGTGGTTCTGACGTCGCACTTTTTGCAAAGGAAACTGCATACGTCTAGCTACAGAACAATTTATGGATGGTCAAACGAGTGCTTATAGTTTATTAATAGCCACTATAGTTACTTCACTATCGCTGTTAAATTCCTTATAAAATTAATAAATTACCTCACGTATTTAAAAAAGATAACATATATAAAACCTAATAGGTACTTATTCTTCGTATATTATGTAAGCCTCAAGATATGTATAAAAAATTCACAACTGCACCAATATTAAAAAAAAAATTATATACAGTCAACCAAGTTATAAAGATTGATTCAGTTCAGAGACCGTCCCTATTGTTATTTTAAATTAAATACACGTTAAATGTTCGGCTTAATCACGTAACCGTTTGACGAAGAACTCGACTAGTTTCAAGCCATACTAGAGGCTCATGTTCATGAGCAGCATTCTGCGACACGGGGCTCGGCGTCTATCGTGCTGCTACTTGACTACTCGAGTCTGCGGTGCAACTAGTCGAGATTTTCGTCAAACAGTTACGTGAGCAGAAAACATAATATTTTAATATGTCTCACGAAAGTTACAATGTATACCTGTTGTATAAACTCAATCTAGTGTAACTATAATTATGCCTTGTTCGCACTATGCTAGTATTTTAGTCGAGCAGCGAGTGTTTAGTATATCCCTCTCGCTTTTGTCCCAAATTCGAAGCGAGAGAGAGAGAGTTACTAAATACTCGCTACTTAACTAAAATACTAGCATAGTGCGAACAAGGCATAAGGCTTAATTTCCAACCAATGGAGTAATCCATTCTCTGTACTAAATCAAACTTTATTTCCTTACCTCCATACTAAATGACTTGGCTATCTGTACAAAGTGTAATTTTTTTCGGTGGACTTAAATAATAGCCATCAATAAACTCAGTATTATTTATTTGTAAATAGGTACATAACTTATAAATAGGTACCTACTTTTATATCCCATAAATAATGAAGAGGTAGATAAATAAATAAATAACCATTATTTAGCGGGTAGGTACTGATTTGCTTAATGAGTACCTTTGCATTTACTGCGTCATGAATCCTTATAAACCTCGTTGATTAATTATTTATTATTTACATAAAGATATTGCAGGTGTTAATGAGGAAGGCAGGTGTATGTGTTCACTTGGTATTTACACAATCCTTCAGTATTAATGTATGGGACGGATTGCATAAAATGAAATGTGTTTATGTCCATGAACCAAAGAATGGAAACTTGATATTATATTCGTTTACCAATAAATATGTAGGTAATAGAATAGGTTAGTGTGAATAACCGATCTTATTACTAAATCTCTAGACCGTTCTAGACTTTTTACGGTCTATTTTGGTTGTTATTTTACTAACATCATGCTATTGTTGAGCACTTTGAAATTAAAACATGTTATATTCGTCTATTCGTCGACCCGGAAACTAAAGCTAGATACAAAAAATAGAGTACCTAACTATTAAAAAATATAAGTATTTTTTCCACACCACAATAATAAGCCTTAATATCATATATTTATTAGGTATACATTTGAAACACAATGTAGAGAAAAATCTATTTTTATACATCTAATACTATTTATTTTTATTTCGTGTTGACAGGCCAGGCGTATCAACATTAACAGTATCAACGATGAGTCACGTGCCTCGCTCCTACATCATTCGCAATGGCCGGTGGACGCTCTGTAATGGAATGATCCAGTTCCCCATCCCTAGTCAGGCCTCCTCTACCAACCTCTTCAATGGACTCTTCTCCGAACCCAGATGCATTGGACGAGAGGTACAGAATAATTATAGCCTATATAAATATTTTCGATACAAAGGAGGAAAAATAAAGCCAGTATGAGCCTGACAGTCCATTTCGCTTGGAGAAGACAATTGATGATGATGTCATCTGATCATGCATATAAAATGTTCTATATATTTTCTTTATGGAGATTTCTCTTTAGTTAGAAAGTTAATGAAAACACTTATCATGAAGTTTACTGCTAAATGTCTGCGATAAAATCTATTAATCTACTTATTAGTTCTTTTACACGTCAATTTATTGCAATTTCTGAAAAATAAGTCTTATTCTAAAACATGCTACGCGTAGACGAGAGACGTAACGAAGAGTTCGATATCTAAGCTACGGATCATTCTACATAGAATAGCCAAAACGATATGACATGTCAATTAATTTCTTATGTCTACATGATCTTTATAATAGACCTCTGGTTCACCATTACATAGCCTTGGGTCTTGTGGTAAGCGTATGTCATTAAACCAATTATTAAGGTACATGTCCGCTAAAAAGCCAGTTTCCACGGCCTTGAGTCTTGTAGAGTTAAATCACACAGTGTAAATAACATAAGGCACGTTTGTATCTATTATGTAATCTCGAACTTGAACTTGTAACTTGTGATGGTAATCTCTATTTACATTTGTGTCTTTAAAAGTACGTGCATCTACTAGGAAAATCAATGTTTTGAACTTCTGACCCGAACTATTATAGTATACAAATATCAACTGACAAGTTATTTGTTGCGAAATAAGATACACAATCTGTTTTGTCGTATAACATACAATTCTCTATGTACTCGAAGTATTATCAAGTGGAAACATATACTTAAAATATGTATCTGTTCTGGGGACTAGAGTTATTAGAGAATACATAACAATGCTCTTTTAAAATAACAGATCAGCTGTAAGTTACACTAACACCTAATAATTGTGGATAATAATTATAATCTATCAACCGGTGGATTTGGTCGTTAGAAATAAATGGGAGAAATCAGAAGAAATCAGGAGAAATCTCTTTACTCTTGATTGATTATGGAATTTATGGAGAATCATAATTAGATAACGAATATTACACAAAAAAACTTAACGAAATCTTAAAAGTACTCCACTATCATAAAGACAACGATTGTTTAATGGTAAAACGATGTGACAGTGCATTTATTGCGTGTTATTATGGGTAACATTCATAATAAAATAGAAATATTGAAATAAGTGCCAATTTCAATTTTTTTTGTTATAATAACACCAAGAAAAACACTAGTGAGTCATCATATTACATATTTCCATTAAAATTAATATTAAGTGAAAATAATGATGATATTTAAGACTCTTCGAAGGCTTTTGATAATGTTGATCATAAAGTAATAATTTACTCTACAAAGCTTTTATGAATATTGACTTGTAGCATTGTTTTGTATCTAGCATAGACATAAATATTAAATTAAATAGATAGTACATTTTACATTAGAAGTCGTAAAACAGTGGCCAACTTAATATTTCCGAGGAGTACCTCAAGACTCTATTCTGGGACTTGGTTCACGCAAGTTTTATGCACTAGTATATGGTTATTTTTATGCAGAAGAGTCTAAGACAATTTATATCACGTAAAGATTTGCAAATCTTTTTAGAATAGCTATTATAGCGTAAGTCGGTAAATGAGCAAACGGATCACCTGATGGTAAGCAATCGGCGTCGCTCATGGACACCTGGAACACCAGAGGCGTTACAAGTGCGTAACCGGCCTTTTGGGAGATTAGGAGTTTGAGGATCGTTGGGAATTCAGCAATTGGGGAGATTGGGGACGGGGAGGGTAATTGGGCCTCCGGTAACCTTACTCACACGACGAAACACAACGCAAGCGTTGCTTCACGTCAGTTTTCTGTGAGGCCGTGGTGTCACTCCGGTCGAGCTGGCCCATTCGTGCTGAAGCATGGCTTTCCCACACTTAAAGCTTGTCTCTCTAAGGAAGATGAAAGATATCACCAGTTGCAATTGGATTTCTTAGTGCAGTACGATTAATTTAGCTGAATTCAGAGAAGCTTATGTATCTTAGCTTATCATACATCGACACCGGTGATATATTACTTATTATCTCTATTAAGTATTATGCTTCATACATACACATTGAGGTTTTATAGTAATAAAAGTTTTATTGGGTTTTTCTGCCACAGAATTCTTATTATAAGCTTAAGTGATCGGACTTTCACCCATTGATTAAAAGGTATCCATTATAACACGAATAATCCATTATAGAGGTGCTGCTAATATACCATATCTACACATTCACGAATATTCAGGATATTACAGGCACATATAGGAGTTAAGTTAGTGTTTTGATAGAAATATTTGTGATAAACGAAGACAAAAGAGCACCGACTTCCCCTATTGTAATGTGATTATCATGATTGAGCAATTAGCCTGTCATTGTTACTTCATTGCTCTTGTGTTAACTATAGTACGATTAAGTGTTATCTTGTGTTTATATCTAGAATCTCTTTTCTATCTACACAATAGTGTAGAGATAGCGATCTAATAATATGATTGGCAAAAACTGGTGCAAAATCGTTTATTGCATATTTTGCGCAGGTACCCTTTGAAACATATAAGAATATTCTGAGTTACTAGCTGTATAACAAAATTGACTTTTAATAAACAAATTAGAGCGCGTTTACTGGCACATTGTCGGTCATGTCATAAGTTAGATGTTTTTGTTCCTATAAATAGATAATAAGAGCTAATAGTAAAATAACAAAGTCAATAAACATTTGTGGCTTTAACACGTACACTAGGATCTATTATTACCTCCTTTGGTGTATGTGCGTCTTTTATAGTAGATAACCGGCTCTATTCAATGTTCTCCGAGTCATGATACATGCGTCCATAATAAGTAACTGGCATCTTAAGAGTTAACGTTGATGAATGCATTATAATAACACCACCCAGTCCGTTAACGTGTTTAATTGTGCTGTTTCACCCATAACAATCGATGTGCTAATTTTCTTATACAAATATCAGGTTCCGACAGTGCAAGATCCGTGTGTATTCAACTCCGTGATCAAATACGAAGTGGTCCCGGCAGTTCGAGCTCCCGAATACACTGAAGACGAATATCTTTGTCTGAAGTCAACTTTCAACGTCACTTTGGAACGCTACATGAGCGTGACGAGACAAGTCATGAACGACACGTGCAAAAATGGTAAGTACAATGTATTTCAGTTATTTTAGCAATTGTGTGCGTGCGTTCACATTCGGTAAATACGGCACCACTTGGCAGCACGCGTACAGATTGGAAGCGGCGGGCAGACTGTACCTACTATATAGGGTGCCTTACAGGGTATATGGGGTACCTATATATAGGATGCCTATATAGGGTTTTTTTTTTTAAGGGGGGAAAATCATCGAATGACTGCTCCCGCCTGGGTGAGGCGGGAGGGAGTGTCAGACTCTTACTGACTAAAAACCACCCCGTTCCTTCTCCTGCACGTCGAGCCGGAGCCCCGGTTACCCGTTAGGTTCTCCGCGACATGCCTATATAGGGTACGGGTGCCACATGTTTAAATAAAGGTATATTGAAAATTGAGCTTAAAACCCCTCTAAATCTTACAAATTAAGCAACCACGTTCTAAGTACCCTCTAATTGAGAACCTAGGAGTACCTCATTGCAGTTTTGGCTGTCGCAAAAAGAGCAAACTAGACAATGTTTGTTAGATTGATTCATAACTTTTTGTTGAACTTTAACTGCAATTTAAACTGCAAATGGCTGAAGACTGGCTTGGTTGTAAACTGAAGTTTCTATAACGTAGGTACCTATTGCAATGTACTATTATTCTTGTGAATGACAATGAAATAAAAATAAAGGTAAAAAATAAATAAAAGTATTACTTCAATCAACTTGTATGTCTGAAGTTTAGTATTTGATTCTGAAATAATAAGAAATAATGTTTCTTATTAGACCTCCATTAAAAAACAATAAATCAAACCGGGTGTACCGCCGTGTACCTCAAGATAAATAAGATAATATCATGAATACCAAAATAGTTTTTTTGAAAATCTGATTGGTATGTAATTGACATTCCTGATTACCTTATCACAAGGAAAGTGGAAACTCTCGCATCTTTTTTCTTCTCCTCTTATAAGAAAATTATAAAAAAGCGAAGATACATATTATAATATCTTCTGGTTTGTTTCGTTGCGGTTACCAAGACATTATTATTCACGTCCCTGAGACGCACCGGACTACAGTGTTCCGGTATTTTTATAGTTGTATCTACTGGAGATCCTGGCTTACAGGAGTTGCAACGGTTTTGGGAGGGAGTGGCGGGCTTGTCTCATTAAAAAAAAGCAAGTAAAGGAAATTAAGTAAAAAAATATGTGGATGAATTCTCTTATATAAGTAGATTTACCTAAGTCATTTTGTCTGAAAATTAACAAACAAAAGATATCCTAAGTCTTTGTTACCAGATCAGAAAAGTTAAATAACATTTATAAACCTAGAAGTAAAATGTAAGTAAGTAAGTAGGTACTTAAAAAGCAAAACCAAGCTAAAAATAGATAATTAAATAACAGTTATTTTTACATAATACGGATAGTTATTTTACACTTATTCTTATGTGTTTGTTGATTAGGTACGAAGACGAAACAAGTATCAAAACTGGTTTCAGATATTTTAAACGTATCTTTAATTCTTTATAATTGTAAAGTTACATACTTAATTATTAAATACATTCTTAAACTACATAATTGAAAATCTTGAAAAGTGATGCTAACTGTAAACCTCGAGAATATAGAATAACAAATTGGGGATTTTTTGTGTATGTTTTGTATGTAAGGAGGATTTATGCAATAAAAATTGGAAAATTCATTCGAAAATAGCATCGGTACCTACAACATGGAAGAGAGGCGCTGCCAGTAGTACATTTCATTACATAATGAGGTTCTCATCTTTTTTAGCTACCTACGGCCATTAACTGTAATTTGTTTGTACATATTTAGCTAGAGCAGATTATATGGAGTTTTCCAACCATACATATTTTTATTTCACACATCATTATTTCGCTTGTTTTTATTAGTCTCATAGTCTCTAGTGTTTTAGCGAATTTTTTGTAGCGCCCGGTAATTGCCGTGGCTGTAGATTCTACTCGCAAAAACAAGATTGTAAACTTGCTGTTTCGACGTTCGTCCGTATGTTTTTATGTTAACTTTATTAGATATTTTGATGTTTATTATTAGGCCTTCCAAAATGTACAAGTCATAAAAGTTAAAGCGTGTAGGAGGCTTCTCACAGTGCCTACCTTATTAAAGATTTTGGCATTTTTTGAGTAAAATTACCATTATTAGCCCGCCAGTCAGGAAGTTCGGCGGTGTTTCACTCCGTGCCTCGGAAAGCCGTGGGTCCTGCGCCTGACCTTTCTCCGGTCGTGGCGGTCTGCCGTCCCATCGGGTTCAGAGAGTGAGAGAACAGAGAATGCACCTATGTTTGCACACACACTTGTGCACTATAATATCTCCGGCATGGTGGGCTAGTCTAGTTAGACAGACTGACCACCATGATAGAAGTCGATCGGCAGATTTATTCGTCATTTTATAAAATAAGTGCTGCTTTTTATTCTCAATCTCTTTTTAACAGTTTTATTAATTGCAGGTATCATCAGGAGCCTGGGAGATAACAGCCTGGAATGTGGTGTGAGAATACTGTCCGAGTACAGTTTCTATCCTCACAAAAGTTCAGCCTCATCTTCTTTGCCACTTGAATACTGCGTAGAAAAAGATGGGTCATGCAAACTCATTATGGCTTGGCACGTCTCTAACGCAACCATAGAGAACTTCGAGTTTTTAAAGAACGAACACAATTTCAAAAAGTATTTTATAAAAAGTGGCCCATATATTGAACACGTAATTTAATTGTTGTAGCTTATTTTAGAATTTAATAAATGAAATTATTATTTAATCGTGATTATTGCGATGGGAAATTAAGATGAATAAATTGTTATGAGTAAATCTTTACGTACGTATATTTTTTAAACATTCAATCAAAAAGCAGTTCAATCAATCAGTATGAAATACGAAATTACACATTTGACTACAGTTTACATTGGAATGTTGCGTACAAGATACTTACATAATTATATAAAAAATATGGTGTCTCTTGGAGTAAGAACAAGTTCGTCGTGTTTTTATTTGTCTTTATCATTATAACGGTACGCTACAACGCGGTGCAAAAAGCGATCGATAGAAACTATGTTAGTAAAATTTATTTCTCTGTACGTCTTTCGCTACATTCGATACCTACCTTTAATGGTTAATAAAACATTAATATCTAAACTTTCTATTTCAAAAGGTGTAAATAATATTGTAACAATAAGCAAAATGTAGGTAGGTAAGGTAACACGCAAAACTTAGTGATTACTAAAATTATTTATTTACGGGATAAGCCGGTAATCAAGCACATGGATGGTAAGCATTCAGCGTCGCCCTCCCATAGACACCCGGAACAGCAAATACGTTACAAGTGCGTTACCGGCCTTTTGAGGATTCTGAATTCGAGGGTGATCTGGATTTCAGGGATTGGGGAAGGGGGGATAATTGGGCCTACGGTAACCTCCTCATACTAGGAAACGCAACGCAAGCGTTACTAAACATATTTTTGGCTCCTACTACGTACGTTTGACCTCAGCACAAATATGTAGCTCCCCTTAAAACCTATGATAAGTACCTACTTATCCACCTGGGTACGAGGATTACGGAAATGGATCACTGCCCGCATAATGCGGTAATGTTCAAATTATATTAAGGCGCCTATATAGTTCCTAATTATTTCACAACGTATTCAACGCAGTTTCTGATGACCTAAATAATGTAGCACAAATAGCAACACTTTTGGCTGTAGGCTACTAAATAACAAAAAATAATCGAGATTAACCAAGAAGTATTATAATAGAATCATGGAGAAATCTGAATAAACCTGCTTACACGCAGACGCTACCTACATAGCAATAACAAATACATAACTGTGATTTTAGAACACAGTAACACACTCTGTCTAATCAGAATAATATTGATAGAACTTACCGCTCGAAGGCATGATTTCTTTAAATTGTCACCCAAATATATTTCTTCATAAACAACTTTTAATTTAAAACTAATTTAATCGAACTAGTTCTCGCGATGTTTTTTATTCAACAAACGCTACATCCACACTACGTCAATTTCATAGACAGACTGAATTTGACTTTGACTTTAGAAGACATGCAAGTTGAAATAATTTTATTTGACACTGACAATGAGAAGATATCAAAATACTGTGTCTATGCGTGGTCATTCGCCAATCACATTTCATGTCAAATTGACAACTTGTAAAAATGACAGTCATTAACGTCATGGTGAATGTCAATATTATTGACCTAATTTTTCGAATTGTGCTACTTGTAGAAGTATTTTATAAATAAAAAGTAATTATAACTTTGTTGAAATTACAAAATGAAATGTCATGTACCAGGCCCTAACGTGAAAGGTGGGTATAGAAGAAATATATTTAAAATTTTGATTTTTATCCGTGAACCATAACCTTAGCATGTGTTCATACAAAATTTAATTCGAATGTTATTTTAGTTTTAGCTCGAACTGTTCATGCTCTTGCAAGATTTGGTGATGAACTCTACCTGGAATCTCTTCCCGATTGTATACTATTAAGAACTCTAAATGCAGCTGAATCTGCATATGCTATGGTAAAATTTAATAAGAACTTCTTCTCTTACTTTAACTACAACTATTATTCCACTGAAGATAACGAAGGACTGAAGTGTAAAATATCCATGAAATCGGCGCTAAATACGTTCAAGTCTCCTACACACTTAGACAAGCAAGTTGAAAATCTAGAAATCAAACTAGATCCCGAGTCCTGTAAGTTAATTTTCCAGTTAAAGTGCAGGCATGGCATTGTCAAAACACACTTCGTATCAATATTAGATTGTAAAGCAATGCAGGCAGTTTACACAAAAGATACTGTACCTAACAGGTAAGTTAATAACAGAATGTCCTTATAATTTCATGGTCACAAGCATGTTTAAATAGACTCAGATTAAAAATTTTGGAAATCTTTTTTTAGGATTACTTCTCCACAGAGAATACTATCAGATGCTCTCAATAACTTCCAAAGCTCAGATGATCAAGTGACTCTTGAAGCAACCTCAATGTCTCTCATATTAAGAAATTACATAGACTGTAGTGCAGATCTGACAAAAATTATTAGAACACAGATTAGCTTGAAGCCGGCAGAATTTGATAGCTACTTGATAGGAACAGAAACAGTTATTACATTCTCACTCAAGGAGTTTAGAGCACTGCTTACATTCTCTGAAGCCCTCAATTTGCCTCTACAGCTTATTTTTGAAACTACTGGAAGACCCGCAGTTTTTATTGTACATAATGGCACTACATTTGAAGCACACTTTGTGTTAGCTACAACTAAGCCTGATAATGCATCACAAACTACAACAACACAGAATACTAATATAGAAAGGAACAAACGAAAAGACACCAGTGGTACACAAGGATCTGCTCAGAAAAAGCCTCATCTAGACTCTGACATATCAAAATGTTTAGATGAAGACTCGCATTTATTTAATTTTGTAGATATGCCAGGTGATAATGAAATAAGTTTAAGTAATAAATTAAATGGTAATCATAGTATAAACAAAAATAAGACTGTGAATGATCTAATGGACTGTGATAATATTCCTGCTTCACCTGCTGCCAGAACTATGATAAAGTCTGTGTTCAAGAGGTGTTTTGAAAGCACTTTTGATCCAAGGAGCATTCAAGGTGCAGTACTAGCAGAGAATTCAGACAGTGATTGACATGCCAACAACTATATATTTGATAACAATAAACACAAATTCCACTTTTACCAAAGTTAAAAAGTTGTTTCTATTCCTCTATGAACTTACAATGTAAAGGATGATAGGATGGTAGGTATTTGGTGTTCCAAATCAAATCACGTTATCACTGCATTATGATTTTATAGCAAAAAATATACATACACAGGGAAAAGTATTATACACACGTCACAAATCAATGTTCGATGATATACGAGCGAATATGAGGGGTTTTCATTTATCATCTTTATAACTATATTAATTTTCACATCCAAAATGGTAACAAAGCTTTTCTTTGAATTGTACACAAAAACATAATTGACAATATTGAGAACTAATGTACAAAACTAAAAAGATATCAAACAGTTTCAACATTCTTCTTGCCTAGTTTCAAAGTTGAGCAAAATTTGTAAGTGGTATGTGTAGCTCGCTACACCATCGCTTTGCGATAGCCTAACAGCTGCTATTTTGTCAACCTGTGCTTTATTCATATGTGCATAGAGGGCAAGGTAGAATCGATACAATTATAAGTTTACAAAAGTTATATTTATTCAGTAAAAATTATAATTAAGTATTAAAACTACTAAAATTAGCACTAGAATAAAATTGTAATTCTGAGAAGCGACGTTATAAAGGCTACCAATAACACAATTAGTATTGCATTGCATCAAGTCTGTAACTAATTATCATGCAAATTATAAGTTTGGTAGCTCATTTTACATTTTTTATAATTTTGACATGTTTTAAGTATTGCATGTTTGTTTATATTTTTACAATAACATAAGTTGCGATACGTAATAAATAATTAATCATTGTTTTAAATTACTTCAGATTTGGTTTCTACTATACAGAGATCAAACTTGTAGTCATATTAGGAAGTAAAGACAACAAAATGCAGATTTGTTTTTCTATAAAAATTACCATACATATTTCATTATTATAACAATAGCAACATGTCTTAAAAAAGATGAAAAAGACCTTGGATTCTATTTTAATTTATTATTTATAAAATACGGCAGCGATACCTTTTAATTACAATAAGTATTTATTTTAAATCAATTTCAATATTGTCTCTGGCCCGGGTGGGTGGGCCCGCACTATGAGTCACGCCGGGGCCTGCTCTCAACAACGTCCTAACTGCATCACCAAACACTCACTATCCAACTAAATTAATGAAAAAGGGCACTGTTACTTAGGAACAATCCTCTTGGCTCTTTCTCACACACTGTGCTACTTTCCTTTTAAACTCCGAATATGATTCTCTCCATTCTTTCTGTAAAAAGAAACAGAATGAGCACTCGTCTACTAAAGGCGTATGCGGGTCTTGATTGAGTAAAAACTGGTTGGTGCGTGCAGCGACCTAGCGTGAAAATTATTCAATGTGGTATGCTTTTGGTATGGTTGTCACATGTGGCCCTTCTCCAATGATAATATATTGTGATCTAGTTCCCCTCACTCTCCTAAAAACAATCTTCTTGACTTTTCCTAACACATCTCGCAACTTTCTTTTTGAAATCCGAATATCGCTCTCTCCATTCTTTCTGTGAATGCAAACAATAGTTAAATGAGAATGGTAATAATTACAGATGCAGACAAACACAAGCACACTAGAAGTTTCCTGTAAAGTAACTCAAATATTAATCTTAGACACAAACAACTATATATATATATATACAAACACTACACATAGACAACTATAAAATCTATCAAATGTTTCTTGAATAGCAACAGTTAAGGTACAGGCATTGAAACAAATAATGTAAAATATCATGCTATTTTCTTCCAAATTGCTAAACATTTAGATAATTTACTGAATTCTTAACTTATTAAATTAAGAAAGTGTCATTATTTCAGTATATAAACATTTAAAATAAACTTTTGGTAGGTGCCTGGTGCAATAAATGCTCTATTTGTAACAGCTACTCCTTGACAACTGTGAGTAAAGTTGAAGAATTTTTACTTCTTGACCTTCTTGGAAATAAGACAAGGTAAGTGGATGAAAATTTAACTTTCAGACCTACAAAATATCTACCATTGATTTATAATACTTCTTACAGTAAGGTAGCTCTACTAAAATTTGCAATTACTTGTAATAATAATAAAAAATTACATAAAACTAGCATTCATCACTAATGCTGTATCTACCAACAAACTATTGTTAATTCAAACTCTCTAAAAAAATAGTTGAATAGAAATAGGAATAGTGGCATTCATTGCTTGTACGAGTAAACAAATATCACAAAACAGGTTTCATATGGCATGCTACACAGCTATATAATAAAGAAATTGACATCACTTCACTCACCGCAGCATCAACATTGGCGGGGCTCTCATCATTAGGGTCTGCCAGCATGGAAATTACACTTATAAGAATGGTCTCGACTGTGTGCACTGGCAACCACCGCTCTGAGGCCTTTTCATAGCCCCACTTGTCATCACCAGGTTCATGTAATATTGATATGCAAACATCACCATTCTTTTCGACTGAAAATGTAAAAAAGGCATTTTTAAGTAAATTACTTTAATACATGTTAAGCTTTTTTACCTTAGGTACATAATTTTATTTTTCTTTATGACATAGAAGCCAGAAATGAGCCAAGTGTCGATAGACTAAGCCTGTAAAAAAGATAAATGTAATAAGTCTATCTAAGAAGCTCTGTAACATAACTGGTGAAACTGTTACAAAATGATATAATAGGATGTATTTGAATCCTCACTGTATATTACATTGTTTATTTAAACAAACCAAATCCAAGTAAATAGTAATATTACAATTTATTACTTCAACCTCAATATTTAATTAATTTTACTGTTTTTATCAGAATATCTATTCCCAAGGACTGATAATAATAGAGTTCCAGTAAACATGAGTGTTGTAAGATGATGTAGATTTCATTCCTATTTCAAATATGCACTAATAAATATTTGATAACTATTATGAAATACAATACTTACTATTCGGATGCCATATTTCAGTGACAAATTTCATCCGCGGTGGCCTCAGAGGATATTCTTTAGGAAAATGTAAGTGTGCCTTGAAGAATCCACCCTCACTGGAAATTGAAATTAACTTTAATGTAACATTCCAATTCAAGTAACATTCCAATAGGAATATATAAAAACGCTTATTGCAATATCAGTTTCAAATAGGCAAATCAAAATCACTACAATTTTGAAATTACTTTGTGTAACAATTTTATAATATTTACAATGCCTAGGATATGAGATAACCGTGAAGATTGTCATCTTTCCAAAGAATGCTTAGTCATGTGCATGTCTGAGACATAGTATTCAGAAAACATCATGCATGAGAGGTTAACTTTGAGTAAACAGTTATATAAAATTTTCAGTGGTTCAGTGAGTATATGAATGCCTGCTACTTACTATAACGTGTCTGGAGGACCGATGATGAGGACTTCCCATCTGTATATGTCATTGTCATCTATCAACCCAGCAGAAAAGCCTTCTACTGGATTTTTGTTCAATTCTGAAATCAATGAATGGGTAACCCGTGTAAGAATTTAATTATAAATTATTTCTTAACACATTTGCACAACATTATTGGTGAGAAACGCAAAAGTCTGCCAACTGTGACCCGTAAATATACTTGTAAATAGTTATTTTACTCATTTGACTTTGGCACGAGAACACCTGTCATTCTTGCGAATATTGATTTTACTAAATCGAGTCCATTTTTAAGCGCAATCATAAAAATTAGCACATTTGAAGTACAAAGGAAATCTAAAACTTACAGAATCATCCGAATCACAAAGATACTCAAAATTCGACCCGCTGAGGTCAATGAATGCTCGAATAACGAGTCTGACGTCTCTAGCAAGAGACATCACCACAAATTTATATCACATAAGGACGACTCACTTACCAGCTAGCTGCTTTTTCAATAAAAGCGAAGACTGTGGCTCTGACATTAATTACAATTGCGAAATTTACCCTGACGAGACGAAACAAATGATTTTTCCACAAAAGATGGCTGTCTGAGTTTTGAGCAGGTTGTGAAACATTGAAACATATGAGTTACTGCTTGTTTCCGGTAAAAGTTGCCATTATATTAAAGTTAAAAAGTAATAGTTAAGCAGTCTATTCAAAATTACACGCATTTTAATAATTAAAGGACTTTAATATGTGCAATATTTCGGTTGAATTCTGTATCACAAATGTTAATCAATAAAATTTACGAAAAACTACACTTAAATTAAGCATATCATAAGAAATATTTAGTGTGGTTGGTTTTGTTCAACAAAAATAAAACGATAGCATTTTACTTGTGTTTGTTATTATTTAGTTAATTACATAATTAAGTTTCCTTTTTTCCTAAAAAAATATTTCTTTGAAAATGTGATTTTATTGCTTTAGTTAGTAAATGGCAATACTGACCGGATCCTCGTTACGCCATCTATTGGCGAAAGTCAGAAAATCCAACTCTATTTAAAAATATCTGCCGCCTTCAGCTCACATCTTAGATTCTTGAGTCATTCAGATATTAATACTATTTTGTATCTGTTGGTGACTTTGCTCACCTGCGGTTTACAGACGCCAGGGTATAAGATTAATTATTACACTAATAGTCATGCTCACAGTAATAAATTTAGTCCCTAGTCCCTTGTATTTGATGCTAGTACCTACTATTATCAAAGCTTTCATCCTTTTACGAAATTGCTTTCTACTCAATGCGCAGGTGTAGGCAAAGATAAAAATTCTATATTATCTAAGAAGTAGATTAAATAGACAAAATAATAATATGATTCAGTTCAAGAGTGTTGAAAATGTTTTCAACGGCTTATTAACTGAAGGTATTAAGGAAATAGGTTTCTAATGAAGATTAGATGTGTATGTGAATAATAAAAAAGGATTTTTTCTAGATCTGTAATTTATTATAAAATTCAAACTTAACTTATAACTTAGTTAAAATTATTCACTTTCACTGATTTTTTGTTTCTTTTGTTGTGGTTCTACATTACCATTCATCTGTTCAAATTTCTTCTTTTTCTTTTTGTTCTTTTTTGATTTACCTTTATTATTCTGCTGATTATGATTTTCTTGTGCTTCCCTCTTTAAATTACCTTTCAAAGCAGGTTTACATGAACCCACAATCTCCAGTAATTTATTAAAATCCAATTTTGATTCAACATGGCAACTTTCATGGAATTGTCTCATTGTATTTATTAACTTTTTCAATGTAACGAAAAAGTTATTTTTGACGGCACACTCTGCATCAGCATTTAGTGATTTTGTTAAAGTCTCTTCAAAATTAGCCTCTAAGCTAAACAAAGCTTTGAGGGCCGGCTCAGATGTGGGTTTATTTCTTTTTAGTCCACGGTAAAATCCAGCAATTAACTCTAATCCTTCATTTCGTCGGAAATGCCTTACATTATCGTTAAAAACATTCTCTATGATTATGGGCACAAGCTCATAACTGCCAGTCCATTCAGTCTGCAACACATTGTGGAAGAATATAATCGGCAGAACACAATTACGATTCTGAAAGTAGTTTTGTGTGGATTCCTTCAAAATTTCGATTATTGGTGACACGGGTTTCTTTTTCTTCGGCGATTTGGGTGCTTTCGTTTCAATTTTTAATGAACAGTGTATAATGAATGTAGCGAAAAATGTAATAATGTCACCTAAAGCCTGGAACAAGAAGTGACTCCTGCCGCCTTTGTCTATTGTCGCTTTGAGGTGGTCACACAGGACATTCATGTCAATATCATCAACTGAAGAGAACTTTCGAATTTTAGCGAGGGCTTTAACAGTTTTCCTAACTCTGTTCTCCAATTCGTTAAATTGACCATCTTGGATGCAAAATTCCAAGCATCTTGTCAGAGGCGCGATCATACCAAGACAGATGTCCATTGACGGATCCTTTTCTAAGTAAATATCAATAAGATCCAGAACTCTGATTCTGAAGTCAGACAAGGCTTTTTTGTCTTTACGATCTTTCTTTGATTTTTTACCCTTTCCTTGGTGGAATTGTTTAAAGGCCTCTGCTAAAGCTTCGTCGAGTTTTTTACCCTCCTCTTCATCAATCATGTCTGCGTCAACACTTTCAGTGTCCGACTCAAGAGCTGCGGCACCCAGAGCTTTCTGGACAGCCAGTCTTAACTGCTCGGGAGTTCGCATTTCTTCATCGTCGGCGTCATCATCATCGTCTTCTGCATCATCACTGTCACTCTCTTCATCATCTTCATTTTCGTCATCACTGTTCTTACCATTCTCTTCTGGTTCACCATCATCTTCATTTTCGGAGTCAGAGTCTTCATTAGTTAGTGGATTAGATTCACTCTCAGGGTCTAGCACAGATACAATCTGTCCTACTGACGATGGAGTCAAATATTCCCATAATAATCTGAATACACATTGTACTACAGATCTGAGAACACTAGATTCAGCTGACAATATAGACAGTAAAACTTCAACCAATACCTCAATCCATTCTGGTTCACCTGATATTTCACTCTCTTTTGCTTGTTTAGATTTCTTTTTCTTGCCTTTTCTATAATGTTCGTAGCAACTCTTAAGTTCCTTAATCGAACTTCTAGCTATTTTAACATGAACAGGCTCTGAGAATAAGAATAGTCCAAGTTGGTAGAGCAACACAAGGAACACTTTATCAACTTTTGACTTGGTATCATTCTGTTCTATATTCTGACAGACTTCCATCAACATCTCCCAGCAATCCATGTTTTCTTGAGGGAATTGTTTCTCTATTTTAGCTCTGACTTGATCTTTTTGTAATATGCTACAAATGAAATTGCACAGAGATGACAACACAGTGACTAGGTTGTCGACGTTTGAGAAGCGGGACGTAAAACAACGGTAGAAACAGGACTTGATGGATGCTGGAAACAAATAAAGACATTGTTAATATAAGACTATATAATAATGGAAATAAAGGTTTCAATAATTTTTAATTATTTGACAAAATATTTACCTGATAACTCAGTGCTCACTGCGACAGTCTCTTCTCCACCGACTTTAAAGAAACCAAAACACATGAGCAGTTTCATGTAGACCAGCTTAAATTCTGTATCATCTTTAACAGCTTCATGGGACACAAGATATGAAATGAGCTCAGCTGCCTTTACCCTCTCATTGTTATACCAATTCCTCTCAACATCTTCTTTTATTACCTTCTTAGAGGTATTTAAAATTACACCTTTTAGTAATTTAGCCATCTTCTTCACACCATCTTCTTTTAAATCAGAAATTATAGACTTCACAATTGTGGTGCCTGATATCTCTGTGAAATTCATTTCTCCCGGATTGAAAAGCAGTTTTTTTAGTATTTCCACCCTTATGCTGTCATCCACCTTATCAGATTTGAGAGCTTTAGATAATGATATAAGGAGTTCTCTTTGTTTTTTAATCATTATCTTGTTGTCATCTTCATTGTCTCTCTTACTCCTGATTTTGCTTGCAGTTTGGAGTCCTTTAAACCAATCCATGAATAGTTTGAAGAAGTTCCTGCTTATCAGCTCAGGTATAAGATTAACATTTTCAGTAATATTATTAAGAATTATATTGAGCATGTTTATTGCTACTAATTCTCTGTTTCTGTTGTGCTTTGCAAGTTGACTATCAATGCCTGTTACCCAGAACTGTTGTAAATGTGGGGAGTTTGCAATACCAGTAGCTATTTCCTTGTAGACGGGATGACCAACTGAGTTGAAATCTATACCAGTCTGAAATTATAAACAAGACACAGGATTAGTCTCTTTGACAATGTATTGTAATACTATTGTATTATTTGTGTTTTCTTATGAAGTTATTAAGTTCTTACCATAATCTTTTCACAAATGGCATCTATATTTTCTTCACAGAGTATTTGTGTGACACCAAGGAGTTTCCTCAACTTTACTTTGGTAGGAAACTTTGAGTTGACCATCATTAGAAAGTAGAGAGAATCCAGACTGTGCTCCTTGATGTTCTTCTTGAATTCTTGCTTTATTTGAGGCCATATTATTGTGGCAAACTGATCTTCATTTAACTGGAAGGAATATTAAAGTTTATTTACAAATTATGTCTCGTTCAATGTAACTTTTTTGACCAAAACATATGTGAAGGGTTCAAACTGTTATTGTATCTTCAAAAGTATTTTAATACTTACACTTTTGATGAAGTCAAGAAGAATAAGGTATGCTACAGTGCCCAAATAGGACTTCTTCTTGCCAGCAGTAACTAACAACTGAATTACTTGAGCCTGCTCCTCAGCTGTACATTTCAAAAAAAGTTTTGATCTAAAGATTGCACCACAGACTAAAATCTGACCCAAGGCAACATCACCAACTTCCTGTGAATAAATAATTACATTGTATGAAAAATTTTATTAATCCTGGCAAGAACCAACTTAATGGAACTTTTGATTTATTATTTAACATTGAAATCACAAATGTGAGTGATGATAAATGATCATTCATTCTACTAGACGATTCAAACACCAGATGACTGTACAAAGAATTTACCAATCAATTGGTAACATCATCTCGTAAAGATGTTTCAAAATATTACACAATGAAAATATTATTTTGACAGCAAATAAAACTGAAGCACAAACTAGAGCTTCTGTACATTTTTCTGAATAGATGTATACTTACACTCTTAGATGATCCATTAGTGTGCAGCTCTTTTTTGATGAGGTCTAATATTTGTGAAATAGTGACTTGTTCAAAGTTTGTCAACAAAGTCACCAAAGTAGCGAAGTACCCTGTCCTCATCTCTGGGACATTGGCGCCTAAACTCCTCACGAGCCTTTTGAGGACATACTGTAGATCTTTTTCATTCTGTACAAAAAGAAAATAACACGTGAATATTTTAACTGGCATGTAGAGTTTATAAGTAGTTTGCAGTGCCCTGTTGCCTCAAACTTCAACTCAAATAGTCAATAACATTCACATATTAAATAAAAATAACTAAAAACTAACCTCACTGCCGTGCAACCGCGATATTATTTTACTTCCTCCAACAAGTTTAGCATCATCTTTCGTGGACTTTAGGAGGTCAAAGGCATCTAGAACTGAGGCAGTTACTTTGCTTTCCTTCTGAACAGTAGTTGGATCCGATTCTTCAGTCATTTTTATAAAACCAGTCAATAGTAAAAATTCACAACAAAATAATCACCACATGGGATGATAGACCGCACATTTTACGCGACACACCGAGTGCGCGCGTGACATTTCTGTCAATATGACAGATTCTGTTGACAGACAGACTGACAAGATGACAGTTTTGTCACAGATAATAGTAAAAAAGAAAAAAATAAACAGTTGTGGTGTTAGTTTGTTCTTTACTTCATGTTTTTCAGGAACTTTAAGTTACTATTTAACTTGATTTCAAGCATTCAAATCTAACTGTGTAGGGGTATGTCTATTCACGTATTTCACGTGCAGCTCGACAAAAACGAGATTAGAGTAATTGTGGTCGCTGATTTCGTACCTGTGGCACTACGAAGTATGACTAAACATGGCTCAACTAGTCTTGATATTTGTTATTTCTGTCGAGTTTAGAAAGAATAGTTACAGCTTACAGCTTGACAAAAAAGTAGTTTGACGCGATGACAACTGGAAATATTATCGACTTGGATTGAATATCATGAATAAACGATCATATGAATATAATACCTCTTTCTAAACCCGATAAAAATTAATAATTTATTTATATGTGTATTACAAATATCATAAATTAGT